TTGTACAGACAGACTTGTTGCAACTTAATCCAACATCTTGGTATAATCCCCTGTTAGCAACCTGTTGCCCTAAAATATTACGTAATTTTGCCAAGCAGATACCTGCAGCACAAATGTATTGTTGTCTTTCCGTTAAAACTTCGATAATACTTGTTTTGTATTATTTTCCTCTTGTAGATATCCCAAAGATAGAAAAGTGTTTTTGTTGCAACTAGAGGGTAGAACTACTGCAAGTGAAGTTGACATTTTAAACTAAACATTTCCATTTTTCATATTTTTCATAAGTTTTCATATTTTTATTAATTAACTGTGTTTTAGGGTGCAATTTAGGTTTGCCAAAACGTTACTACCTTTCTCTTGCTAGAAATCGTAGTTCTTTACACTTTTTTTGCCTTAAATTTCACGCAATATATAGCTTAAACAATAGCCTACATGCTTTCGTGGTCAAAATTAAAAATAATTATCACAGTTTTGAACAGCTATATCCAGCTATCATTAAAATGTTTTCGGTAATTATTGGGAGTCCCCTCCCGCCAGTGTCAGCCACTGTTTTAGTTTCAACTTTTATATAGATAGAAATATTTTCAATCCAGGACACTTGGAGTAAACATAGGCAAGTGTTTTGAATCAGACAAGTGTAAAGTTGACATGTGTAAAGTTTACATTCTTTAAGAAACATGTTCTATTATAATCTGTCACTCAATAATGGGAGTCACAACTGTTCTCGATGTTCAGGATACCAAGACAGCTAACTGTGATGTTCGCTGCAGTGAGCTAAAATATAGAAAACAAACATTGTTTGAGTAGAAAAGTTGTTCGCAAGGCGACTATTTTTCCACCATGAAATCATTTGTAAATCGTAGGTTCTTATACCTATAAATATGGAGACGTCGTCATTTTTCTCCGCATTTCTCAAAGAGCCTGTGATTTCTTCGTTTTGAACAACAGGCTGAAATAGATCTACAAATTCATCAGAATATGGCGGTGCAATAATGTCCAGTACCTACAGTACAAAAAAAGATATAAGACGTTGAATCGCCGACACACAATATGGCGATTCTATGATCTGGCTTACCTCAGTAACAAAATGCCGTATTAATGAATTATCGACTTTCTGAGTGTCAGTACACTTTCTAATGTAACTGACAACCGCCACAACATAACCTCGACTGACCAAATGAACCATACGATCTAAAATTGTCTTCTTAAAGCCAAGCTAAAGAAAACAGTCGGATTAGATTAGCCATGTTTCCTGAAGGTGGACAAACCAGGAAACATTGTTTCCTAGCCATGTTTCCCGAAGGTGGGCAAACCAGGAAACACTGTTTCCCAGCCATGTTTCCTGAAGGTGGGCAAACCAGGAAACATTGTTTCCTAGCCAAACATTGTTTCCTAGCCATGTTTCCTGAAGGTGGACAAACCAGGAAACATTGTTTCCTAGCCATGTTTCCCGAAGGTGGGCAAACCAGGAAACACTGTTTCCCAGCCATGTTTCCTGAAGGTGGGCAAACCAGGAAACATTGTTTCCTAGCCAAACATTGTTTCCTAGCCATGTTTCCTGAAGGTGGACAAACCAGGAAACATTGTTTCCTAGCCATGTTTCCCGAAGGTGGGCAAACCAGGAAACACTGTTTCCCAGCCATGTTTCCTGAAGGTGGGCAAACCAGGAAACATTGTTTCCTAGCCAAACATTGTTTCCTAGCCATGTTTCCTGAAGGTGGACAAACCAGGAAACATTGTTTCCTAGCCATGTTTCCCGAAGGTGGGCAAACCAGGAAACACTGTTTCCCAGCCATGTTTCCTGAAGGTGGGCAAACCAGGAAACATTGTTTCCTAGCCAAACATTGTTTCCTAGCCATGTTTCCTGAAGGTGGACAAACCAGGAAACATTGTTTCCTAGCCATGTTTCCCGAAGGTGGGCAAACCAGGAAACACTGTTTCCCAGCCATGTTTCCTGAAGGTGGGCAAACCAGGAAACATTGTTTCCTAGCCAAACATTGTTTCCTAGCCATGTTTCCTGAAGGTGGACAAACCAGGAAACATTGTTTCCTAGCCATGTTTCCCGAAGGTGGGCAAACCAGGAAACACTGTTTCCCAGCCATGTTTCCTGAAGGTTGGGAAACCAGGAAACATTGTTTCCTAGCCATGTTTCCTGGAGGTGAACAAACCATATTTTCCTGTTTGCTGAAAGTGGTCAACGGAGAATATTAGATTAATACCTCGACCAGTGTATCCAAATGAGTTGGTGATTCAAATATCCTGATCAATAATGACAATACTTGCGAATGTTGTAAAGGATGACACGTGCTTATCTAAGAAAATATTGAGTAGCATTCATATGTGATTGCAACACGCGAGGCGCGGAACGCTCGAGATAATAAAATAATATTCCATACCTCATCTAACAGTGCAAGATGCAGTGGTGTCGAGTCTGTCATCAGTTTGAAAAAACTTGGCTCAGATAATGTGTAGTCCACCCACTTGAGTATTCCCATGGCAACCGCTGGAAACCTGAAATATGACAGACCATGTAGGTAAGTCTCGGCAATGGCATACACAAACTACAGTACCACTACTGTAAACTTTTGTACCATCCTTTTGTACCACACGCAGGTTGTTCCAGATCTTCAAACAAGTTGTAACAAGGTTGTTGTCAAGTCGATATCAGGATGTGTTCGCACTGCTTGTTCCCAGTTGTTGTGACAAGTCTGGAACAAGTTATCAGCTTGTTACAAGTTTGATGACGGGGTAACTGTCAAGTTGTTCCGACAAGACTAATACAGGCTGTTCGTAACAAGTTGCTATGAGCTTATTGTCGTCAACTTGTTAACAATTTGTTACGTGCAGACGATATCAGACTTGTTGCAACAACTTGTTGCGAGTCTGTTGGCCTCATCAACCTTGTTACAAGATAATAACAACTTGTTCCAGACTTGTCAACAACTGGGAACAAGCAGTACGAACACATCTTCTTGACAAGCTGTGAAATTTTTATGCGTGTACCAATACCATCACCAACCTGGCACATTGATAGAGCATACTGATCTCTGACGACGCCTGTGATGCCACTCCTATTTCTCGTGAACATACAGTATGTACTCGTTCAATCGCTTGTCTTGTCGATTTCAAATCATCTTTATTTAAAGATTCCCTAGAACTCTAGAAACATAGAGATGAGATATATTCTTTGTTTGTTTATACATAGAAATGTGTTTTTTTACGAATAGAAACGATATTCACCTCTCCCCAAATTTCGTGAACACTTGCAGCATAGGCAAGGAGAAAAACATATTTATGTTTATGATCCGAGTGTGGCGTATACCCAGGCTTGAATAAAGAATTCAACAGCAAATCTGAAAGAAACACATGAAATAATAGACAATTCCCATTATAGACTAATTTTTTATCTTGGGAAAAAAGTACATTCCCAGAAAGAGCATACTAAAATTAATAAAATTGCAAAGTTTGGTTGCGAAATGTTGTAAAATGCAGAAAATATGGCCTTGCAAAGTTAGCAAATTTTGTGTACTTTTGTATTGCGTGCGGAAATTGCTACCATTTTCGGCCCAAATGTATAAAATTTGCAAACTTTGCAAGTCTTGCAAGGCTATATTTTCCCCATTTTACAACATATCGCAACCAAACTTTGCAGTTTTACTTGTCTATTGTCTGACACTGTGCAAATATTGAAACTCCAAGCACAACATAGCTTTCATTTTTCAAAAATAAATGTTATCGCTTGAGTGTTTTAAATTGAATCCTAACCAATATACCAGAGTTTACACTGATAATTGATCTTTCAAAGCCTCTGAATTTGATGAAATATACCCCGTTGAGTATTAAAACAAGACATTATATTTAGTATATAAACTAGTATTAAATTAAGTCTGTAGCAGCTTGTATTAAACTGCCTTTGAACTGAGTAAAGTACAAAAGTTATGGCCTATGGGCTAATGGGCTATGGCTGTTTTTTTAAGAACTACCCTATATTTTTGGTTAAATATTTGTGCATCATGTGTGTCATCTATTATAGTGTATCATGTTACAGTCTGTTAGGTCAACCAAGACAACATTCAATTTACAATCGCATGAATGCAAATCTTGTTGTAAAGAATCGCTAGAGCGAAAAGTTTTATGCAAATTTAAAATTGTGTGGTTTCAAAAAGTTACAAACGCGTTGAATACTGGTGGTTTCTAGAGGGCGATAGCTCTGCCGCTTGACAGAGCTGTAAATTATCTGATATTTCCTGAAAGGTCTCGTGCTTGATGCTAAATAAACTCAGACAGTTCCTCAAGCAAAAGTTGTAAAAGCTTCTTCGGCTTCGCGTGCAAAGACTGTTGAATTTTGAAAGCAACGAAACGCATTCATGGGTGGGTGAGTGATAAAACATTTCTACAGAACTATAGTCTATACGCGGTCATTTCACGACAGTATTAAAAGATTTATAAGAGTTTTAATGCTAAAGGTGTTGTCTGTTAAATAATGATGTATATTTTATGGTATATTGCCATTGCTACGGTGGTATCTCTGGTTTTATCGCGACATTCCAGCGAAGCAAGGACCATGAAACCCAGTGTGAACCAAACTGGTCGAAGTTCTACGACGAAATCATCCAAACCGAAAGTCCTATTGCTCTCAATTGCTGGGCTTCGTGGCGACTACTTCACTCGTATTAACCTTACTCATATCAACCAAATGATAGCGAATGGTACAAAAGCAAAATACGTTCAGAACTCGGTGAATGTTTTGGACATAGTCAACCATTATAGCATAGCGACAGGATTGTATCCAGAAAGTCATGGTATTATATCACATACAATGTTTGACCCGAAGTTAAACCGTATTTTTAATAGCAAAACACGTGCGGACCCCGAGTGGTGGGTTAATGTCCATCCAATTTGGCAAGAAATTGAGATCCGAGGGTCGAGTGCAGTATGCCATTGGCCTGGTGTTTACGGTCCAATGGTTTCCACTCTTCATTGTGGTCAAAGGAAATCCCTCAAAGCTGACATTAAGCAAGCGCTACAGTGGCTACATGACGATGTCGAGTTCGTATTGCTCTACTCAGATGATATCAAGAAAGCTGCTCTAAGATGGGGACCTTATTCCCAAGAAGCAATCAATGAAGTTAAAAAGTTTGATTTAATCATGAAATACGTTCTGGAAAAAACACGCGATCTTAATGTTAATATATTGCTCATGTCAGATAGTGGGGTCGCTGATCTAAATAATCGTCACATTAACCTGGACCGATGTCTTGATCCGAAGTTCTATGTCTTAACCCAGCCTCAGGCTACCCTATTGTTCTACCCCAAGCGCGGTTACACAGTCCAAGAACTTTATCAAAATCTAACAAAATGCAAACATGTTAAAGTTTACCTAAAGGACGAACTACCAGAACAATCTCATTTTTCAAATAATCCCAGAATCCCGCCTATTATTGCTTTTGCACCCCTGGGCGTTGTCCTGCAGTCCAGTAAACGGGTTCATCGGGGATCAGCAGGATACAACAGGGGTGGCACAGGGTACCATCCGGGGTACGAGGTGATGCGAGGGGTGTTTATAGGATATGGCCCATCTTTCAAACCAGGTTTGAAATTTGAAGCAATCAAAAATGTTGATATATATGGATTAATGTGCCACCTATTGGGAATAAACCCTAGACCTAATAATGGTTCATATCATGTTGTCAAGTCCATGTTCAATGATGTGACGTCATTTGCTGCTGACGTCACTGGTGACGTCATACATGCTGGCGTCATGACCCCTGACGTCATGACTACTGACGTCACAACCCCTGGCGTCAACACTACCGGGGTCTCATCTCAGCCAATCACAGGCTTGGCACGAATGGAAATGGATGTGAAAGTGTTATTCTGGATTCTCGTTGTTGTGACTGCGTTGCTGACGTTGTTCTGTTGTGTTGGGTGTTTTTCAACAATGTATAACAACCACAAGCAAGGTTATACACGTAGGACCAAGGTTCGCGAACGTGGAGCTAAAAGTTTGTTACTGAGCAACTCATCTGACGAGGAATAACTGTGTTGCTTTTAAATAACCGTGTTTTAGTCATTTTAGATTATGTAGGTTAAGTAACACACGTAAAAATCTCACAACTTGTCAACATCAGGCTTGTAGCAAGTCAACAAGTCGTAACAATGCTGTTATTTTATCAAGTTGCTACAAGGTTGTCACTCGCAACTTGTTGACAAATTGTTGAATTGCAGGACGATAACAAGTTGTTGGAACACGTCTGTTGAGCTCAACGACCTTGTAGCAAGGTGTCAACAAGCCGTTGACAACTTGTCAACAAGCAGTGCGAACACATCCTGTTGACAAGTTGTTGGGACAACATTGCTACAAGTCTGCTGCAGGTTTGTTACAACTTGTGCGTTTTACGACGTGTGTAGCTTAACTTTTCGTAACTTTATATCTCCATACATAATGAAGCCTCGAGATAATTTAGTATGTGTTTAACAATGAACCATTTAAGTTAGGTAGCATCTTATAAACTCAATATTTAAGGCCATAAGTAAGAAAGACTGCAGCATTTTAAATTGAATAACTTTATAACTCGATCACGAAGTTCCATGTCGACGTTGTTATACAGCCATATTTTCAAATATATTCCACTTTAATTTACTGTACTGTGTGCTACAGCAACTGTCCAGTCACGCATACGTGATAAAAAGCAGATATAAACTTTACAAACAAGAGATAATGTAAAACGTAACAGAACGGCAAACATGCAGATTCGGCCATCTCAAATAATTGTACTGTTGGGATAGTAGCGTTGCAGACTGCAGAGGAGAGTGGGCAGTAAGGCTCCCTCATGCACCACCCCATGGAAAACCTGCACCCTTCCTTGCAGATGAGGCTAGATTCGCACCTGATTTACATGTGTTTGTATTAACCGTTACTTACCCATGAACTGTGACAATCGTATGAGCTCAACAGGCGGTGGATCTTGACTAGAATATAGTTTATACAACACTGTAATATCTCCGGGGTTTAAAGCATTACGAGTGAGTATTGATGAAAGGGCGGAGCTAGCTCGAGGATATTTTGACGAACCATTGAGTGCTAGCAAGATTTGAACGACATCATGACCCCTGCAACAAAAATACAGTAAAGGCTGATTTGTAGACACTACACAACTTTTGCCTAAAACTGTCGCATGCAACCTGCTTACAACTTGAGTTGTACTGTGTAAATCAAGTACACAACTCGCTTATGTTGTCGTAGGTGAGTTGTGTGCTTGATTGACACAGTACAACTCAAGTTGTAACCTCGTTCCATGCGACAGTTTTAGGCAAAACTTGTCTAGTGTAAATTGGGCTTTAGCAGCGTTTAAAATACAGTAATACCAAATTCGAGGCTTACACTTTCTGCGCGCCAAGACATATTTCTTGCCCGAGTCTCCGCGGTCCTGTTCCGCCCTCCGTGTTCTGGGACAATAAATGAAGCAGGCATTGTGTGTAGAGAAATGTATGATGACCATGAGAGACCATTTTCTAAACACATACAAGTAAACGTTAGCTGTCACTGATTTTATAGTGGTCAGAGCTACCTCAAATGCACTGTATTGTACAAATTTATTTAAATTGCTATATTACTGCCGTTAGAACTTGCTCTCCAATTCAGTTGAAAGGAAATGGCAATACAGTTCTTATTTTCTCATTTGAAAGAACTTTTAAGACTATATATAATACTCTTTTACCGTTTTTTCATATCTTGCTTACTTCTACAAATATTTTGATCGAAAGGAATGAAATGTCCGACATCTTCAATTTTTGTAGATATGCATCTCACGTCACAACAGGGGTCTCACAATATTTTTATCTAGACAAACGCATCATTTTGCACTCAAAACTATACTCTGTCTCTGCCCTTCGAAATATCAAGATCACTCAAAACCTTTAAAACATCTACCAATCAATATTTGGGCAGCAACGAATACTTTTATATGGTTAATCCCTGTTGTGAAGTCACCAAAACTACCGTTCATGAGATCATAAATTTATCCAAGAGCCAGACATCTCATTATTTCAAATGAAAATATTCCAAGAACTAAGCAAGATATGAAAATCGGTAAAATAAGTTAATATATAGTTTCAAAGTTCTTTCAAATGAGAAAATAAAAATGTATATTGCCATTTCCTTTTAAAGCATCCTATTTGTCTCTTAGGTGGTAACCTTCTAAATTTCAGACTGGTGGTTCTTGGTCCACTGGTATTATGTGTGTTTTTTTACTGTATATTGAAATGACAGCATACTGTAAATTCTTCCAAGCGTTTCTGCATGAATTCATCGCCGTCATCGAGAAAGGAATGGATGGAAGTCTTTAAAACTCGCGAGAATACTTCAATCTGGTGACAAGCTGAAGTCACTCGAGCTATTTCATCTTGATAACCCACATCTGAGATCAACTAAACATTCAAAGTAATAAGAGTTGGTTTGGAAGGATGATTTGCAGGGACGGATCTGATTTGTTAGAGGGGGTGGTGGTTTAACAGAGGGGGTGCATTACTATGGGGTCCAGAGGCATTCTCCCTGAGGAAATTCGAAGCCCTGAAACGCAATTTCCTGCATTCTGAGCACTACATTTATTTGTTAAATTTGTCCTCACAGTACTGGAATTCGGGAAAAAATTAAGAAAAGTGCTATGTTATATGGTGACCCACCATATTGGTGCTTGAATATTTTCTCGCGTATTCGAAAATCAATTGTTTCAAATATATAATACTGTAAGTAGTATTCACAACTCAAATATGGAATACCAGAGTTGTCTTCAAGGGTATCTTGGACACCACTAGGGGGTTGGGATGTGCATACCCCTATACCCCACCCGTATAACCGCCCCAGATGAATTGTTTCTGTTTTTACTAAAGTATATATTGTACTAATTGTTATTAACCTTAATGGTAAAATTTAGCATCAAGCAATCTGGATACTGCTCGGCTAACTTATAAATCATCGATCGCCACGTCTGGTGTTGGATCATTTGTTCTAACCATGACGGAGTCTGAAAAACACAAAGTCACAAATTATTGATTTATGCTTTTTGTTTAAATGAAGTTACTTTTAATATTAAGTGTTCGAAACGCTCACCCCTCCCTCCTCAGTGAAAATGGAGTCTGCTTTCTTGACATCAAAGTTTTGAACGATCAATGTTTTGAGATGGTCTTCGACTATCTGTTCAACATCATGAACATCAGCTCCTGCATTTTCATGGAAAATATTAAATCATGTTTCTTCTAGTTATATACAGGCATGTATCACTAAGCACTATCAGCAGATGGTGGTAAACCTGCAGTTATTAATTATTTTCACCTGTGACTATGAGCCAGTTTGCCAATAAGTTGGCAGATTGAGCTGTTCCAATGTAATTATCAGCAAGAAGATCAACAAGAGACTCCGTTTCTCCACCAGCTTGAAAAAACCTGGCAGATTAAAATACATATTAAAACTGATTAGTGGTAAATAAAGTTTAAAAAGAGAAATTTAAACTTTTCAGTGAGACCCGACACATAGCAACTGCATAGCCTGTAGTGCACTCATAAAACACATGTTACAAGTTGTTCCAACAACTTGTCAACAGGATGTGTTCGCACTGCTTGTTCCCAGCTTGTTGACAAGTTGTAAACGGCATGTTGACAACTTACTACAAGGTTGTTGAGCTCAACAACAGACTTGTTACAAGTTGTTCCAACAACTTGTTATCGTCCTGCAATTCAACAAGTTGTGAGTGACAACCTTGTAGCAACTCGATAAAATGACAACATTGTTACAACTTGTTGACAAGCTTGTTGACAAGCTTGTTACAAGCCTGCTGCAAACACATCTTGTTGACAAGTTGTGAGATTTTTACCTGTGTATAGGGACCTCAGTATAGAACTTGCTAACCTTTTAATACTGGTAAATATTTCTGGCTCCATGATGTAATCTTTACTTTTGAAAGGTTCAAGGCAATCTTGCAACACAAGTTCGTCATCTTTCTCTTCCACGTGCGGAGCTAGTTGAGGACTTCTCGGCTGTGGCAGAATGCATTATTAGGCTATGCTTACAAGATGAAGATTTCAAATGGAATTTTTATACATTTACTAGACCCTGAGCAATGTACAGAGAGACAGTTGTCGAGCTCTAACCAACTGAGCTACAGAGAGACAGTTGTTGAGCTCTAACCAACTGAGCTACAGAGAGACAGTTGTCGAGCTCTAACCAACTGAGCTACAGAGAGACAGTTGTCGAGCTCTAACCAACTGAGCTACAGAGAGACAGTTGTCGAGCTCTAACCAACTGAGCTACAGAGAGACAGTTGTCGAGCTCTAACCAACTGAGCTACAGAGAGACAGTTGTCGAGCTCTAACCAACTGAGCTACAGAGAGACAGTTGTCGAGCTCTAACCAACTGAGCTAGAGAGAGACAGTTGTCGAGCTCTAACCAACTGAGCTACAGAGAGACAGTTGTCGAGCTCTAATCAACTGAGCTACAGAGGGCAGTTGTCGAGCTCTAACCAACTGAGCTACAGAGAGACAGTTGTCGAGCTCTAACAAACTGAGCTACAGAGAGACAGTTGTCAAGCTCTAACCAACTGAGCTACAGAGAGACAGTTGTCGAGCTCTAACCAACTGAGCTACAGAGAGACAGTTGTCGAGCTCTAACCAACTGAGTGAGCTACAGAGAGACAGTTGTCGAGCTCTAACCAGCTGAACTACAGAGAGACAGTTGTCGAGCTCTAACCAACTGAGCTACAGAGAGACAGTTGTCGAGCTCTAACCAACTGAGCTACAGAGAGACAGTTGTCGAGCTCTAACCAACAGAGCTACAGAGAGACAGTTGTCCAGCTCTAACCAACAGAGCTACAGAGAGACAGTTGTCGAGCTCTAACCAACTGAGCTACAGAGAGACAGTTGTCGAGCTCTAACCAACAGAGCTATAGAGAGACAGTTGTCGAGCTCTAACCAACTGAGCTACAACTGTTGTCGAGCTCTAACCAACTGAGCTACAGAGAGACAGTTGTCGAGCTCTAACCAACTGAGCTACGGATAGACAGTTGTCGAGCTCTAACCAACTGAGCTACAGAGAGACAATTGTCGAGCTCTAACCAACTGAGCTACAGAGAGACAGTTGTCGAGCTCTAACCACAAGTTCATTTATAAATACTAAGATGATGCCAATGTACGGTGTATGGGGAAATATTAGGATTTTAGGCACCACACTCGATAGAACTAATTGTTGAAGGGTTTTGTAATGAAATTTCGAGTGGAATTTATACATTTAGGTTAGGTCTGATAAAATTTCCACTCGCTTCAACAATTAGTTATATCCAGTGAGATGCCCAAAATCCTAATTCTGTGCTAACGCCTGCATGTATTCTAAAAGCTCACTTACAGAGGTTCAATCTGCGCTTCCCTTGAGTGTCAATGCTGTTTTTGAATAGCTGGAGTGTGAGTATAGTCACATAGTAAGATACGACACTAACCCTCCAGCTATTCAAAAGCAGCACTGACTCTCAAGGGAAGCTCAGATTGAACCTCCACTCTGTGAGTGTGAGTGAGCTTGCAGAATACAAGCGGTAAGACTTCAAATAAAATATTCCATAAAAACTCGTCGTAGCCTTCAAGCCCATGCAAGAAACTCACGAGTATTTTGTTGTTGAATTGTGATCTAATCATTCAATCGCGGTTACCAAAACGTAATTAGTTGTATCTAATTGGTTAGGCAATTCGATGTGACGAGTAATTCGGTATCGTGTATCTGTGGCCTTAATTAAAGTAGAAATAATGAAGGATTATCAGTTTCAGTGTAAACACAAGACGGACTACCAAGACAACCTGACTAGCAAGGTTCTTAGTTCGTGTAATGCCGTGCACGTGGACGGTCGGCCTTTAAAATGACTCTAGTATAAATGTATTTTATTCCTGAGCCATATGGTTACGATGATCAGAGTTTATACTTATGATGGAGAAAATAAATGATATGTCTTGAAGACAAAATACCGAGGTTTTTCTCAGTGCATTTAATCTATCTTCTTTTCTCTTGGAGTTTTTATGCCATTAATTATTTACAGAGCGTTTTAAACTGTTCTTTGTTGATCCAGTGTTATTACAGGAGGAAACCTGAACTAAACTAAGTTCGTTTATACTGGATAGTTCTATCAGTTTTGAACTGTGCTTGCTGAATATCCAGTAAGGCATCTCTTATTGATAGCTAACTTTATTTTATATACTGGATAGCTCTATCAGTTATAAACTGTTCTCACCCAGAGTTCGAGTAAGGATCATCTCTTATTGATCCAGTGTTACTAAACAGGAGGAAAACTAGACTAAGTATAGGTAATCATGCAATTGCGAGTTCAATTATAGGGATTAATAGTACGAGTGATGTTTGGAAATTTTGCCAAAATTGGACGAGCCGCCGTATCAAGTAAATGAAGTAAGCATGACAAAATTGGATAATTCTCAATGTGAACATCATATTCTCTCGCCAAAGCCCATGCAGTCCTGCCAGACTTTCAACCAAAATGTGGTACTTTTTTCGTATTTTCATTTACTAAGTAATTCTTTTGCTTTAAGTTCCTTTAGGGCAATTTCATTTGTGTTTAAATGCCTTTCCGTCATTTTGTTTGTTTTGGGAAAATTATTCATTGTACTGCAGTGCAATTAATGAAATAATTGTATTCCTTTCAACCAATCAGCATCCAGTGATTTTGTCATGCTAATGATAAACTAACTTTATTTATACTGAAAATACTAGCTCTGTAGTTCTGAACTGTTCTTCCTGGAGGTGCAGTAAGGATAATCTCGTATTGATCCCAGTGTTACTACAGGAGGAAACCTAAACCAAACAAACTTTATTTATACTGGTCGATAGCTCTATCGGTTCTAGACTGTTCTTCCTAGAGGTCCAGTATTCAGTTCAAAAATCCATCACCTCAAGCGGACATATTTGCCGCAACAGTTCTTGCTGTTCCAGAGGCATCCCTTTTGCAGCATAGTATCTTTTTAAACACTACAAAAAACCGTCGGTGTCTTAAAGAATACACGAGAGGATTAATTGCCCCATTGAAATACGTCACGTAGTTTGTAATGGCGCTCCTTTGCAATGATGCGCAGTCTACGTTGGCAGGGAACAGCAAATCCAGTGTTTCGTTCATAATAAAAGGCAGCCATGACAGAGTCAGTACGATAACAACAATCAAAACAGTGCGTGTCGCTTTTAACTCCGCTTTCATGAAATGTACATTGAGTCCTCGTTCACCAAAACGATTTTTGAGCGCATTGATCTGTCGTCTGTGCCTCCGAGCTACGGTATAAATTCTCGAGTACAGCAACACTATTACAATAAGGGGTATTAGAGTGTGAATTAATAGTAAAACCAAATAATACCCGTTCGTCGGTAACATAAATTCCCAACCCGATTCACTGACGTTTTTTCGAAACACTAACACACTTATCGACGCGATAACAACGCCGGTGTACATCCATAGGACCAGCACGCAATAAACAGCTCGCCTTTTTGTAACGAATTCGATGTATCGAAACGGATATATGATACTCAAATAACGGTCGCAAGTCACGGCGGTAAGAGTCAAAAATGGAATAACTAGCAAAGCCACAAATCCAACATTATAAAGCCAGTTTCCAAATGAACCAAGTCGCCATGTTGGAAAATGTATCAAGTACGCGTAATCCGTTAAAATTACTGTCACAGTTACAAATATATCCCCCAATGACATATTAACTAAGAATATATTTGCGGCAGTTCTAAGACTTTTGTCCACGGCTAACGCCAGACATACTAGAATGTTTCCAATGAGCGTAAACAACATGAAAATTGACAGCAGGATGATAAACGTCCAACGAATTGACGTGTTTTTGTAAAACTCGAAATAGCAGTCGATTTTTGAGTCGTTCAGTGTAGAGTTATCAGGCTCTGTATACATTGCTCACAAGCGAAGTCCGAGGATATTTTCACAACAGGAATCAATGACAATGTACTGAAAGTAGTCTTTGCGGAGGAGCGCGATCAGATAAAAATTGTGGCTTTGTGGAATAAACACGTATTTCTTTAAAATTTGATCCACTGTATAATTAGCTACGTGTAATAACACTGGAACGAGAATCTCTTCAAATCTACAATAGAAACTAGCAGTTTTGGGACAATCCAACATATGTGGTCAGTACTACTATTTTGTCTTTCCTTTTGGAATCTTTTCTTGAATGCCTTTTTAAAATAATACTTGAACAAATTAGTTTTCCAAACAAGATATTTCTCCGGTTATCCACAGCTGCAAGGCAGGTTATGTGTAAAATTGGTCCAATGGTATAGAAACGTGGAACCATTAATTAAAAAATTGATAAGGTATGCTTTCTAAACAAATCAGCTGAATTTTTACTGTTTTAATGAGAACTGCAGACGTCCCGGAGAGTGGAAATTGCTTTTAACAGTTCTGTTCGATAGCTGAACACTGTTTAAATTGCACGAGATCTTTTGATGTGGCTACGGACGCGTCTTTTTAATATTGGTTGAATGTATCTTGCGTCTCTTCAAGACTGTGGTATGGAGAAGACTTTCAGAATGGCTTGTCAAAAAAGATTAAAACGTTTTTTGGTTTCTAGGAAATAGACAGCAAATAAGCAAAGCTGCTTCAGAACGCCAAAAGCCTTGTTTTTTCCTGACGAGAAACGCCTAGCTGATCAGAAGATGTTTAACAAACATAACAAACTTCAAAGTGTAACGAAAGTAACGAGTTACGCGCGCGGTATAATGATTAGCCAAATGTCGTATAAAAGCAGCTGACATTCAAAACTACCTTTTTATATATACATGAAAGGAGATAAGGCCAGGCCAAAACACAGTCACGCGTAAGATAAGCAGAGATAAACATCGTATTAGGAAACTTCAAATAGCAAAATAATATAATAACACATTAACTCAAGAAGCGCAAACCGACGGTTAATGTTTTATGAATCATGACGATGTTAAATCCTCCATGCTTATATGTTCAAAATATTGATGTCTAATTAATTTTCACAGTATGGTCTAGTGTCTTATATTTATTAGCACTCATAAAGATACGGGCTTACGGATCGAAAGCTTTACAGGGCCATCATTTAACATATATATATGCTGGAGGGACAAATTGACCCCGCAGTAAAATATATTGGCCCTTTGTAAAGGTCACTTTTAGCTAAAGTATAGCCAAAAAAGGAAGACCGATATCAGATGAGTGTTTTATATTCCTTTGATAACCAAACCTTGTTTGTATACTGAAAGCTCAGCCTGTTTTAGTTGAATATCAAAAGCAGTGTTTCAGAATATAGGGAATTAAGCCCCAGAGCTGTGCCCACAGAGGCTGAAAAATACGAACATGTACTTTCCCATAGCGATTGGCACCTTACAAATCCCCACCTCTTATCTAAACTGCGGTTGTGGAAGATGGGTTGAATTTCCCCCACCCCCACCCCCTCCAAAAACTTTTTACGAGAATGACTTGCGCATCTATAAACATACATGCATTATTCTAGCAGTGTAACGAGTCGAGTCATTGACTCGGACTCGAGTCGCAATTTTCTGCGACTCGAGTCGAATACGAAAAATGACTCGACCAGAGTCGATTCAACAGCCCCAAATGACTCGGATCGACTTGCTGATTTCTGCCGTAAATGACTCGAGTCAACTCAGCTACATTCCTACAACTTGTTCAGGATAAATTCATCAAAAATAGTGTAGTTGAATAGGTAGGGAAATTCCTGAAAGGGTTTGAGTGATAAAAAGTAATCTCGATGCAGAAAAAGCATGTCCCTACTTGTAGAGTGGCATTTTTGTTCACCGTACAATTCGCGTAGCCATGATTATGACAATTAAAGAAATAGTAACAAAAATTGTTTCCCATCCATGTCTTCTAAAAAGGGCCCCAAATTTCATTAATTCCTGCTTTTCGGGGGCCACCCGTTGCAAATCTTTTTGCCGGGGGGGGACAGGCGTGGGGCCTCCGTGACCGTCTCTGGACACCCTCCAGTTACACCACTGACTCGAGTGAAGCCATTAACTCGACTCGACCAGATAGTCAAATGACCCGACTCGCGACCCGATCTTTGGGTGACTCGAATCGTGTCCGTAGCCATATTAAGGGATATCTGAAGATGCACGATAAGTAAGGTAAGGTCAAATATTCTAGACCAGAAAAAACCCGAATCGTAATCAACAGGCTATGCGTCAGCATAAATTACTAATGTTATCTAGATTATCTGAAGATGCCGTTTGCAAGATAAGTATATTAGGTCAAACATAGATCCAGGCCAACAAAAACCGAATCGTAATCAACAGGCTATGACCTATGCGTCAGCATAAATTACTAATGCAATGTATCTCTAAAGTGTAAAGTCATACTCCATAGGATCACCTAGTTGCTCCTGTTTTTTTGTTGCTTTTCAATTTTTTACTTGCCGTGTTTCTCTAATTTGGCTTTTTGGGATCATATACAATGTCGTGTCTTTCCAAATTCTGAATCCATTTTAGAACGTTCCAAGAGCGATGACGTGTTTTTAAGATTATGCGCCATTGTTCCACAATGACATGCTTGTAGTCCGTTAGGATATGATGGTCTGGAAGCTCGACAAACTTCAAAGCCACAAAATAGAATGCTTTTGTTTGATGTTGAACTGTACCTCACCGTGTACAAATCTTTTGTCTCAACGTCATTAAATATTTTTCATCGTTGTTGCACGTTTTGTCTCAACTATCCGTATTGGACGTCACTTAATTATACGAAAACACAATGAGTTCAATCACCGTGACGGTGCTCAAATTAACAAAAACTCAGACAAAAAACATAACACAATGACTTCTGATCAACACCGCGGAAAAACGTCTGCGCATGCACCAAATTATGAAAATATGGCGGGGAATTTGAATATCAATTTCTAAAACAAAAACATGCTTATTAATTGGTCAAAAATTAGTAAAACAAACGAGAAAATATAGCAAATGGGTAGACTAGACATTAATTGAAAGCGTCCTGGCATTTAAAGTATGGAATGAAATATAATTCATGTAAAAAAAATGTTGATTTTAACGGACACGACTTAGAAAATTTTTTGCAAAATTATTCAAAACAAAAATTCAAACTAAAAAGTTAAGAAAACTCTCGAAAAGTTAAGCTTCTTAACCCACCCAGGGTGCATTCCGTGTAAACTTCACGCCGAAGATAATCTTGAGGTAGTGTTGCTGTGCGCCAAGTGAGGTCAACTTGTGTGCCGGCTGATCGTGGGCACCGTGATTTTTCATTAATAGTGGGTTTTTTAAAAATAAAAACTTGCTAAAAAGGCGTGTAGTTGATGAATAAGATGTTTTGCTGATGAGCAATGATATGAGTGTTGTTACTGTTGTATCACAAGTTATAACCACCATTTAGTAATATTACACTGACCAGGAACACAAATTTCTCGAGTCCCTAAACTTAAAGAATTATAGGGGCCATTCCAATCACCAGGAGATTATTAATACTCAAAGTCTCGCTTAAACATTTGATGCTGTGCCAACCACCAAAACTCAAAACTTGTGCGCCAACCTCGATGTGACTGTGCGCCAACAATTCAAAACTCACGCCGAAGATCTTCCACAAAACGTGCATGGAATGCACTCTGGTAACCCACTCAAATTGTAGAATAAATCCTAAAGTTTAATTATTGTGAACACGCAAATGTTTTATATTTGGCGACACAGTTTTTTTTAAAGAAATGTATCTCAAACGAAAATTCGGAAATTGTCATTGCTTAGTTGATAAACAAAATGTTTCAGACGATAAATTTGTCAACAATCACCTTTAGTTCATGTTCTTGTACAATACAATTTCTTGAACCTTCTGGCTGTATTTATTTCTAGTTTTTAGAATGACATGTTTATTTTTGCGCTTGAAATCTGGCTGTAAAGACGCACAATGAAGTCACTGCTTTTTACCGCCATTCTGAGCCTTCGGAAACGTTCGGAACAGCTTCTCATCAACTTCTCATCAAGTTCGCAATACTATTACAGGTAAGGTTGACGCATGCGCAGACGTTTTTCCGCGGTGTTCTTCTGATCAGTTTCCAAACCATCATATTTTGCAGACTATGCTATTAAGTTGAAAAGCAAAATCAAAGTTGCTATAGGATAGGTACTTGACAGATTCAGCCACATGAATCTTTACTAATTTTATCTACAGTAGACATATCAGTGGCGTGCTGGATAGGGGGAGGGGGCGGGTGCCATGTACTTCCCTAGCTAGAAATAAGTGCAAATAAATTGATTCTGATTCCCCCAGCGATGGTTTTAAGGGGGTCGCCGAATTGCGGTTGGGGCGTTAAAATCACCAAGAAGGGATTAGTATTTAATCCTTAAATTTAAATTTCTAAACTGAAATTCTTACATCACATGCGACATGACCGTATTACATTTTATTGTTTGTTTATAGTTTTTGTTTAGTTGAAATACTGCTTCTTTAGAATATATTTTTATTAAAAGTTCGACGCTCAGCATGCAGGGAATGGCATGCATTTTCAGGCTTCAAATTCCAACAATTTCCAAGGTGATCATGCCGTGTCACAGGAATTTTGCCCCCCCCCCGCGAGATTTGCCCCCTTTCAAAAGGGGCAATATGCCTTGGAATATCGCCCCCGGGGGGCGAATATCCTAGGAATATCGTCCCTCCAGGGGGGCGAATACCCTAGAAATATCGCCCCCTATATAAATTGTAATTCTTTTGTCTAAAAACAAAACGATTGCAAGTTGAAAAGAGCGTTGAAAAATATTTATTTATTACAATAAGGAGACAAAATTACATAAACATTTTAGGTTAATTAATATATTGAATAATGCTCAATTTATAGGACGAAATGTTTCTTGGCTTTGAATGGGTATGACACGTTCGGCATGCTAAGACCGTCTATATTTAGTTTATATTTTGAAATTCGCAATTCCATCATGTTTGTCAATACAATGATAATGTGTTTCAGTGTTTACAACATAGGCATAGGAAATAACAACACGCCGAGGCGAAAGTACCCCATGGGTGCCAGAGGTTCTTCCACGCTCGTAGGGGGGATAATGAGGATACACGAGGATTCAAGCTCATTATCCCCCCTACGAGCGTGGAAGAACCTCTGGCACCCAGGGTAAGGCGAAAGGCAACCAAGTTCAAATTTGGCAAATGTGTTACTGCATGACTACTGTTAATATTAGGGAGTTTACGCATGTAAGATGGCGGTGTCAGGACGACGGCTAAACAAGCTGTTTGAAATAAATGATTGTATGAGAATATTGTCTTGTATTTACTTTCGTATGAATTTAATATAGTTTAGAGAGAGTAAAACAGAACTTTAACTTTCAGAGCAATTTTGATGAACTCTGCCAGAAGTATTGCCTGTCATGGCTTGAAATGCTTGAGTACTCTGCAAGATGTGAAAATATGCATTTTGCCGTCGTCAACAGAGCCTGGACGACGTCTGAAACTCCAGCTATACTTTTAATTTTTCATTTCTTTTGCTATAGGATTAATGTCATTGTATTGATAGCCGTCGTCCTGACGTTGCCGTCTTACATGCGTAAACTCCCTAATAACAATGAAACTAAACGTATTTCTTCTATATAGCTAACCAATTCAATTATTTTCAATTAATGTCAATGAATAATTTTGTGAATACTGCATCTGTAGAGACAAGTAGATATTTTTAGTGCTCTTTATAATGAAATTAAACGATTTGATTATAAAAAAAACATTATAGTTTATGCATGTGTGATGTGTCAGTTAAAAAAAGAACAAGTTTTGACAATACCAATAATTATAATAACCACCACGATGATTACTTTTTAACAATGAGTAGTTTAAGGATTAACACTGAAAATCCCAAAATTTAATATGCATGGTGTGTTGTGAAGCGTCATATAACTCATATTAAGTCCTATTGATTTACTGTAAGCCCTTTCGATACATGCAGTTGTAACTGATTTGTATTCTTTAACAATTTTGAATTGATACTGATTTCAGGGTTAGGGTTAGGTTAGGTTAATCATGTGTTAAAATAAAATTTGGGGGTCACCGATGTCGTTTACGAGTTAAATTACTTTGAAGCCAAAATATCCGCCATCTTGAAACGTCATTGTTGCCATAGCAACGGCAGTTGCGTACCTTTTCTGCAAAAATTCAAACTCTTTAGATGTTGTTTTATATAAGTAAGGTACTCTTTGTTTATCAACAAGTAATAATTGTCCAAAAATACGCACCTAAATCGTGAATTTTCCATTTTTCTAAAAACTGTATTGAGCCACCTTAAAGGTGATCTACAGTCCGATCTGCGCATGAGCACAAATGAGCCCACTTTTTATGATACAAACAGTTTAACTATGTTTTGAGTTCTTGAAAAGCCTGATTGTTGTTTCTCGATCATTTATTATACTCTAGAAGCTTGAAAATATAAATAGTTGTCGAATAAAGCTCAATATTTTGGACGCAAAAATGTAAACAAAGGCTTTGTTTACATACGGACTGTAGATCACCTTTAAATGTTACGAAAATACCAACCCTATAACCATATCCTGTAAAATTGCGCTGCCCAAACGAAGTTTGCCATCGCTTTATATTCGCTGCGTGAGTTTGCTGTTCTGTTCGTTTTTTTAGTTTGTTCGGACTGCTAAGCCTCAGTATTTTATTGAAAGTAGTATGTCTTCGTGCTTGTGGTGCACTAGCTTGTTTTCTCCATGCTCCGGAGCAGCGCACTGTATTGTAGTCTGTCTGGTTAAATCAAGTTTTATTTAAAAAGAAATTTCGTATACACCTAACCTGACTTAGAAATCACATAACCATTATATTGATTACGGTGTATTGATTAGTAGAAGAAACATTATACTTCACTCCCTTCGATAGGCTATGGTTACACAAATGTGAGAAAAACAAACCTACATGTATACCATATTAGTTTTTACAAATATTTCGATTAAAGTGTAAAGATTAATATTACGTCACTTTTCTGTGGTGGTTTAAGAAATAAAAGTAAAGTCTAGACAATATATATTTTATTCAAACTAGTTTCCCTTAATCCCCTTATATAAAAATAGCATCATGACAGTTGCACAAATTCCCTTTAGAATTCACACGTCAATTCCGCAGTATCGAAGAGAGCATACAGGTGTAGAGCCCAGTTTGTAGATATAAAATAATCCACAGTTGATCACCCCAATATCTTTTTTCCACCGACAACAATTGCCAGCCCAACTGAAGCACACCGTGCGTGCGACTTTACCATCAACTGCAGATGGATGAGCGCCATTCAACCATGAAACGGCAGCAGTATGGCATTTCCGATTCCTTGAGTTTGTTCTGGGAACACAAGTAGTAGGCAACTGAGTTCCAGCATCGCCACCAAATCTGTACCATCCAGATGAAATACCTCTGTCACACAAATCTGAGCTGCCACCGGTATACTTTATGTTTCGATCTTTGTTATCAAGAAGTGTATAACTGCTGCATTCTCGCGGTTCTGTAAATGATACAGAAAGCACAGCTCGAGTCGATTAGTCTACGCTATATTTCCCTTTCAGTTTATTACGGGTGAAAGTTAATATAGCAATACTCACCAAGCGTAAAATTGATAAATTTTTTTTCCAAATCCACAAGTTTTAGATGCATCTGAAATATAAGAACACTATTTAACCGCCGATTTATACTGTACAAACGACGACACTTGTGTGATATGATGATCTATAACTGTTCACATTACTAATTAGCTTTGTAAGGGATAACTGAAGACGGCAAAATGAAATTGGAAATGTCTTTACCACAGTCTACAAGGTGTTCCACAGGTGTCATCCTAAGAAAAGATCCTAAGAGCGGACTGTAGTTAGATAGACATAATAAATATGAGCAGCGATTTTATTTCGAAAGGAAGAAAGTGATTTGCTTTCCCTAATTTAAAAGTCTGCTCCTTTCTAGGGGTGCACCGGATTTCAAATCCGACCGGAATTCCAGCCGAATTTAACAAATTTTCCGGCATCCGGCTTCCGGCCGAATTTGGAGAAAATCCGACCGGATTTAAATTTCTGTTTTCACTCCTTAAAAAATTCACCAAGAATGGGATAAACCATCAATTTGGCAGCTTTAAAGTTTAAAAAACACTTATATTATTATAAAATATTAAGTTATTAACAAAAAGATGTTTAAAAAAGGTTTAAACACAATCAAAAATCTAAACTGACACTAAAAATAGTAAAAAACCTAAACCATCATTTTGAATACTGATTTATCCCCAATTGTCCCCATTACCGGTTTATCTCAAATCCGGCAAATCTGGCCGGAATTTTAGTCCAAATCCGGTAAATCCGGTTCCGGCCGGATTTGAAAATTCCAAATCCGGTGCACCCCTACTCCTTTCATGTTATTAGTACGAGGTTTCGGTAAACAAAGACCAGTTGAAATGTTCCTGTGAGGGAGTTGTGAGGCATAAGCAAATGACGTATTGCATGCCTGAATAGCTATGGGGGCCCGGAAGCACACTCGGCCATAAAATTGTGAATTTTACAAGTCCAGAATGCATGGTTATTTCCTGCGTTTTCAGAGTCAAATTTGGATTAGTTTTGGGCGTAAATCTCTGTATTAAATCTATGTAATTCTCATATTTAAAGCTCTAAAACTTGAATTTTAGAACTGTCTATTCTAAGTTTTGCAACTACCCGTTTTACATTCAAAACTGCCCATTTTCGAAAACGGGAGGCCTTAGGATGACCCCTGATCTCCCAGGAGTTTCTATAACCATGCAGAATATCGCCGTGATGTCCTGGGATCGAGGATGATATCGGAATGGGGGAGGGAATAAAAAAGCCAAAAGGAAGAAAGAAACTACAGGCTGTGGGAAGAATGCAACATGGTAAATTCTAGAAAGACAGATCAACTTTTACCTTTCCCTAACTATTATGACAAGGCTGTAAAAAATAAATATTGTAGCTTGGCTTATATATTCCTAGATGTGAAATTTTTCCTGGTGGTGAGCTGAGATGTAACAGCTGACCGCCCAGATTGCAGCAATGTCCCTAGAATACACCGGGTTGCTATACATGATGTTGCGTCGGATTGAAGAGAAAGGGCATGCTCACCATGTACCTAATCAGCACGGAAGGGCATACTCTGAGTACGAAATTGTGCGTAGGCGATTTATACGTATATCTGTGTGTTTCTATACTATCATGCAAGTTTATCTGACTTACTGTTTGATTTTGTTTTGAGAATATTTGTTTGATATCTTTCAGCTTGGAATCTAACGCCAATGCCTCTTGAAGAATCTAAAAATGTTAAAAAAGTGTTTGGAAACAAGTTATTCGAGAACATGCTCCATATATTTATTTTTAGTATATACAGAACATGAACAGCCGATCTGATTCTGATTTAGACTAGCCGAAATAAACCATTAGTAAACTCACTGATCTGGAAAGTATGCCAGATGCTCCTATCGAAGAGAATACTAATACTTTAAATACAAATGCATCAAATTAATCAAATTTACCAACTATTTTAATATGGTTCGTTTCAGACAAGTGAATTAATTGAAGCTTAGAGTTCATGTAAATCAGTGAACTGTAATAACACTGGAACGCTAACTGCAGGTAAACATGCCCATCTTGGATACTTGCCCGAAGTCAAGATGGCGCTTCTCGCAAGCTCAGCGAGCAATAAATTAACTTTCAAAAGGACTGGGGAGAGTTTTGAGGAGCGGGAAATTCAGTCAAAAGTTTGTTTTTGAGCGAAAATCAGCAAGAAAAAGCACTTTTTTATCGAAAGTCTTCAACTTAAAAGATTCAAACCTGGTTTCCTGGATAGTCCTAAGTATTTTACATCCACTATTATATAATACCTTATTAAATTCTAATCGTTTAATTGGCTGTTTATGGTCACGTGATATTGAATAGAAAATTCCATTTCCCAAGAGTGCAATGGAACGCGTTCCATTGCACTCTCCGCGAGTGCAATGGAATAAAACGTATAGTACAATTGCACTCTTTGTGTTTTCGATAAATCGCATCCCTCAAAATGCTTCTCATACGAATCTATTAGTCTGTTCTGGACTTTTGGTATTATATAAAACAAATAATGAATGTTTATTCGTGCAATAGTAAGAATATTTTCATTCGGTGAAAGATGGAATGTTCCATTCAACTCGGCTGTCGCCTCGTTGAATGGAACATTCCATCTTTCACCTCATGAAAATATTCTTACCATTGCACTCATAAACATTCATTATTTGTATATTAAACAGCAAAAACTTCCTGGGTAACAGCTTGATATTTAAAATATTACAGAAGTTTGAACGTGCCGAAAAAAAGTTCGCACTTTGACTCCTGACAAAAGAACTTTATAACTGCTCTACGTTCTGGAAACATGTTTTGTATTAAATTTCAGGTATTGTTGAAAGTTTTTAGCTTTTTTCCTTGTTGAAATACAGCTATTTAGTGGTCGAAAACAGACATCTTTTAGGCGGCGTATTTTCCACTCCATACCTACATGGCAGCCATCATGAGTGGCTTCAAAGATGGCGGCCAAGTTATCGTTCCAGTTAGAGTTCACTGATGTAAATCAGAAGCCGAGGACTGGATCAAAATGTGAAGACTTGAAATTTAGTCCATTCCGAATTGGAGGATTTGAAATAACATCTCATAGGAATAAATCACCACCTAAAGTGAGGTGAATTAATTTTGATCCAGTTCAAGGACTGAATTAATTTTGATTCAGTCCTAACTACCTAAGACTGAATCAATATACTTCACTAGGTATCGAGTATTTAATATCATGTAAGCAAAATAAAGCAATATACATGGTTGGCTAATTTAGGCTACTCATGAATTATTAATGATTTGAGATATTGAACTAAGCGAGTGTTGTAATCGAGTATTATATTAAGCCGGCGCAATTTCCAAATTTCACTCTATGATCATTTATAAGCAATACATGAAATCAACACCGCGGTCAAACGTAAAGCGCATGCGCGAGTATACCGAAATGGCGGGGAAAATATCTGTTGAAATAATTGGAGTAAACACGGGAAATGAAAGTCGTTCATTATAGGAAACGGCTGAAGTTATATAAGGTGGGGAATTTTACCGCTTTTCAGTTCCTTGCGACAAGACGAAGTTATACTGAGTTTAAACCCTCGAAATGTTCTTTAAACTTTTGCTGGAGCTTCGTGAAGACAATATTATTACCAGTCTTTTGAATACAAGCAATAGAGCTGTGCGGTTAGCCGAAAAATTCGGTTCTTCCGGTTCTTTTTCAGCACCGAAAAACTATACGCAAAAAAACCGGTAGTTTCGGTTTTAATTTCCCGTTTAACGCCCGCCAAACGCCCACCTGATTGCAGGTTGAAATGTTTGGAAAATAACAAGATTGTGCTCTTTGTGCACAATATGCACTGTACTAAGTGCTCAAGTAGTTGATATTTTAGTTGTGATAGTTATTTTTGTGAACTTGCTTTAATTTTTTTTAAAAACTAAGAAATATTACATCTTCATAAATAAATTCCAACTGTTCTTTTAAAATAATCAGAGATTTATACAAACTTAGGGACCGGTCATTATTTATGGCGGGGGGTGGCACCGAAGAGAAATGTTTTCCGTGTCAAACATTTTGCTGACCCAACCATTAAAAAAACTGATTTTGATTACCCAACCTGAAATATCAATTAAAAAATAACTACCCACCCCTGGCCAAAAACTTAACAAAAGGATACCATTCAGTTGTCATACATGTCCTTTATCACTTCAGTGAGATGAGTTTGATAACGGCTTGTGAAATTTTCTGCAGTCTAAAGTTTCATGTTGTCTGCACATGTACTTTCTTTGGAAACACAATTTGTTTTGTCAAACTATGATCAAAATAGTGACTCTGATTGACTCACATATTGTACTGACAAATGACTGTTGACAATGCTTTTCGATTCAGTCTCCAATATTTCAGTGGGTCATGCTTTGGAAATGACAATAAATTTTTATTACCCAACCCTTGAGTTGTTTTGTTTTTCATTTACCCAACCTTTTACTTACTCAAAATTTTGTTTACCCAACCTTTTTCTCTTCGGTGCCACCCCCCGCCATAAATAATGACCGGTCCCTTACAAAGGCATAAATTCATCTATTTAGTAAAAATGCTCGAAACATACATAAATGAGTTCATACATTTGTACTGTTCTTCTTTTTTGAAAATAACCGAAACCGAACCGAACCGAGGTTTTTTTGTTCCAAAAAACCGAAACCGGAACCGAGATAAAATTTTTGGAACCGCACAGCTCTAACAAGCAGTAAATATGCGCGGACGTTTGAGCACGGTGTTCATGAAATCTATGTCGACCTACATCGTTCTTTTGTGCTACAGCATTCCATGTTTTGTTTGATCTTACGAAAAGTTGTTGCTTGTCCTCGCGGTATTCTAGTAGGCCATCAATAGCTGGTACTTTTTTCGCGGCTGTGGAGTCAGGTACGACAACAACCTAAGAAACGAAAGTAGTACATTCCACAATGACAGGAATATTTTGGTATTTAATAGCGCTATTTGTATGCTAGAGACAGAAATTCTTAGCGCTTTATTAAACTGCACCGTGTTTAATCATTAACAATTATTGGTTAAGGATAAAGTTTGTGTTACCTGCCGAAGCTGAAACCTGCATGAGAGCTAAATAATTCTTCATATCATGCAAAACCCGAATTCAATAATTATTTTATATAAAAAATTAACACCTGTGGGTGAAATTTTCATATTTATGAGTTCTTCTGCTACAGGTCAAAAAATATTTCAAAGTCTTCCATCGTTCTTTTCCATAATTTGCGTTGAAGTAGAATTGTAATGCACCACTAACTCTCTATATGACTTTAGCAAAAATTGACTGTTATATATTATTCAGATTAGCAAGTTCTTACATCATGGCGATCATATTATAAAGTAAATATACTTGCTAAAATATAACAAATGACAAGTCATATAACAAATGTATATTCGTTGCATTGCAGTGTCCAAACTGTATAATGTGTCGTTTCATTTCTTACTCGATTCTTATTTCACAGTGGTTTGGTATACTTACTCCATCGTGCAGACGTGCTGTTTGCTTGCTACAGCGACCCTTTAAAAAAATGTTTAGAAAGTTATTGTGAAAAGGTTGTTCATTTAAGAGGAAGTATTTCTTTTGCTTTGGTTATAGGTGACCTAAAAATATTTAAGTTGCTGCATTAAAGGAGGGTAACCTGGTTTTCTTTGCACTGGATCTTGCGTTTACAGATCCAATCATTCACTTTAGTGGTCCAGTGTTACAGCAAGGGGAGAAAAGCTTCAGTGTTTGTTAGAGTCAAGCCACGACATCATTCTCATGCGTGACTGAAGAAAAATTATAATCGGTACTGCAGGAATTGGACGTCGGTGGTAGATGCAAAAGGCACATGCACTAATCATATTATAGCAGTTGATACCTCTGCTAAGTTCAGGTACAAATGAAGCTACGCAAATATTTGAACGGCTTTGAACATGTTTTATATAAAAACATGTCAAAACCTGTAAAAAGATTTTCCCTACCTGTACTGGAACAACACTGTGGCCAACCAGCTTGTACCAGATCATCTTTCCATCTTTTCGTTTCACTTCATACTCCATACAATTCTTCCACAATCTTTTGGGAAGACTGGACCTTACCCAAAACCACGTAAACGCGTTCTTTGTGACTGTGCCGCCATTAATTGCTTTACAGTTTTTGGTGCAATAGTCCTTCGTACCTCCCAAAGGTCCATAACAAGCACAGCACTAAAATATAGTTGATTGATGTAATGTAACAACTTTGTATTAAAAACAAATCGGAGATAAATATTGTTGTAACTTGTTTTGGTTTGTAGAATGATTGTAGTTTTTGTACGTTGTTGCAATTAATTTTCTTAAGTATGACTGTAGGCATGTGAATTTTCTAATAGGGGTGCACCGGATTTCAAATCCGGCCGGAATTCCGGCCGGATTTAACGAATTTTCCGGTATCCGGCATCCGGCCGGATTTGGAGAAAATCCGGCCGGATTTAAATTTCTGTTTTCACCTTAAAATATTCACCAAGAATGGGATAAACCATCAATTTGGCAGCTTTAAAGTTTAAAAAACACTTAATATTATTATAAAATATTAAGTTATTAACAAGAAGATATTTAAAAAAGGTTTAAACACAATAAAAAATCTAAACTGACACTAACTAAAAATAATAAAAAACATAAACCGCCATTTTGAATACTGAATTATCTCAATTTATCTCATTACCGGTTTATCTCAAATCCGGCAAATCCGGCCGGAATTCCGGCCGGAATTTTTGTCCAAATCCGGTAAATCCGGTTCCGGCCGGATTTGAAAATTCCAAATCCGGTGCACCCCTATTTTCTAACACAATAACTGTTATATATTGAGTGCAGTTCTTATTTAGTCAAAAATGACTGAACATGGTTGTACATGGTTACACTGTTATACATGGACGGATTTCGAGGGGAGGTGTGGGAGGTGCGCACCTCCCCTGAGATCGTTTTGCATCTCCCTTTAGAATTTTTGCACTTGCCCTGAAAAGTCATGCACCTCCCCTTGGGAAAGTTTCAATGATAGATCAAAGTGAAACATTTTTTGGTTGCTTAGGGAAGTTTTTGCTTGCGTAAGAAAGTTTTTCTGTAAAATTGAAACAATGATAGCCATTCATCTCTGTGTCAAGTACCCTTTCAATGCAATGTTTTGAAAGAAACTTTGTAGTAATTGTAATGAAGGACAAAATTGGATGAGTTGTACAGTCATAATTCTGCATACACTGATACGCATATGTACAAAGTATTAACAGAACACGAAATGCATACGTCACGTCGTTGACTCTGGCCCGTTCTAAGCCCCAACTTTCCATGGGAGTCGCAGGATAGACTGCTGCACCTCCCCTAATTTTTTTCCACCTCTCACTTTTTCTACCAAACTCCGGTCTTGCTGTTATATATTCAGTGCAGTTCTTATTTATTCCAAAAAGACTGAAAATGGTTTTGTTCCTTTTCAGCCTGACCGAAAGAAATTTGTAGAAACCCGAAACTTTTTATATCCATGACTTGTATGCAATCCAAATGACTGAAACGATTCTACCACTGGCACAATTCGACGAAAATGTTGGAAACTACTTAAGCCTTGGGCAAACTAGGAAACATTGTTGCGGAAACATTGTGATTCGCCATGTTTCCTCAAGTGTTTCTGTGTTTGCCACCCGTGGAAACATCGTTGCAGAAACACAATTTGCTTCCCGAGAAGCAGAAATGTTTCCTATCAAATTCAGAAATATTTCATGTTTCCCAAGTGCGATTTTTGTTGCGGAAACATTGTTTCCTAGTGGTTTGCCCACCTTGGGAAACATGGCGAAACATTGGCAGGAAACGATGTTTCCGCAACAATGTTTCCTAGTTTGCCCAAGGCGTAACTACCAATTTTTCATTTTCATTTTCATGCAAACAGGCTTCCTGGCAAACATTGCCAATTAGACTTAATGAAATGAGATCACAGCGTAATACTGTACTTACAGCTTGATTATCACATCCAACAAAAGCAGTTGCGCGATATTTCATTCCTGATATTTTTCCTGTTGTGCTGTAACTGATGAAAAAATAAATGCTACTGAAATGATATCATTTCTAATCTCGAACGATCCATGCCAGAGTAGGTACAGTGACGATAACAAGCACTTGGTTTTTTCCAGGTAGTTGTATCCTTATCAATCTGCAGCTTTCTGATATAATTTACAAACTATTTTGTCTCAGCCTAGACCTAGGCCTTTACTCGGCTGGCTTTGGCAGGTTGGGTCAATTTCGGGCTAGCATTTGGTAAGCGTCGCCATGGTATTTTTCGCTTCTGCCCTTCCTCCGCCCCGCCCCCAAATCGCCTAATCCCAGTCTTTCATGTAAAAAAGCGCTGCATATTAAAAAATAGTAAAAATTGAAGGCCTAGGTCTAGGCTGGTTTTGTCTCACAAGTATTTTTGCACTGGTTTAAGAGGTGCAATTTATACACGAGTTTCGCAAAAAAGCCAGATAGTACTAGTGACCAACTGATATAGTTATGAAAATGAGAAAAAAATTCATGTCAACTATTTCCATTGTATAATTTGATGGTCAATTCATTATTTTGATTTATTATATAAAGTATTGTGCTTTATAAAGATTTCGAGCACTGATAAAAGTGATAATTTCACATGTGAGATTATTCATGATAATCTCACATGTGAAAATTATCGCTTTCAATTACATCGCTTTTCTGCAAAAATTATCGCTTTTCAAAGACTGTCCTTTATATAATAAACAGAAAATCTGGTATTTCCGCGCACCCACGTATTATTCTCTATATAAATTAGTATAGATGTAGTTTAATTTGTTGTTCGCTGCACTGAAAAACACTAATTTGGTAAAGTTTATAGGGGAACAAATTGAGTTCTCATCATATACCTGAAAGCTCCGTTGTGATCAATGAGATGTTTAGTTTTGCCGGACACAAGATAGGCAAATCCCCATGGACATGGCTTTGCCAAACATGAATTCATCTTTGGCTGAAAAATATACGGGTTGCTATAGTTTACGCCGTAACAATAAAACTACATCTTATTTATATTTATTCATTTAAAAGGAAGAGTAAGCAACTCTTCAAGGTCAGTGCAACATGTATGCAACTCAACACGTCTGGTTAAAAACATAGCAGCCCATAAAGGCAGTTCTTTAGTTGTACTCAAATTTTACAATTAAAAATATTTAAATTGAGTTGAATAGACCTTTCCCCTTATAACCAAAATTTTGATCTAGGCAAGTCTAGACAAATATTTCATCACAGCTTGAAAGAGCATCGCAAAATTAGTAATATTCCAAAGTTTTGTTTCGAAATGTTGTAAAATGAGGAAAATAGAGCCATGCGAAGTTTGCAATTTTCAGTCATTTTAGATTACGGGAAATTGATGCCCCAACACCCGAATCGGATGTCAATTTCTCGTTTGTAATACAAAATGACTGAAGAACGGCAAACTTCGCAAGGCTATATTATCCGCATTTTACAAAATTTTCCAACAAAACTTTGGAATATTACTAATTTTGTGATGCTCTTTCAAGCTGTGATGAAATTTTTGTCCAGATCGAAATTTTAGTTATAAGGGGAAAGGTCCATTCTCTTTACTCTTGCAACATCTTCATATTTCAAACAAAAACGTCGTTTCCTTGTGTATTGATTCAGTAAGAGCTACAACTACAGCACATGAAAACTCAAAATCGACAGTTATAGAGGAGAATCTATTAGGTCCTATAAACGCAATAAATCAAGCAAAATTACTGTTAGCAGTATGTATGGAAAAATTTCCTAGTAGTCAAAATGGATGGACAACGGTAGAAGAAAAAGATTGAAAAGCTTAATATAAAATTTCGAAAAGTGGAAAATACAAACCCATCCAAATGGTGATGAAGAATGATGCGCCTTACCAAATCTTGAACATCGAAATGTTGTTGTAACAATACGTTTAGTTTGAAGATCTTTGACGTAGGCAATGTTTCCAATTCCAGCAAACCTTTTGCTACATCCGTTTGTTGTCGTCAATAATTTTTTCAATGGACGTGTTGACTGCAATCTAAACGACCTACCAGTGATATGGCAAGTCAGTATAATGCATGAGAAACCATTTAACTATCTATTGCTCAACAGGACGAAAATGGGTTGGAAAAATGAGACGATATATACAGCCTGGATTTTTAACTAACTTCGTAATGTTTGCAAATCAGATTAATCTGATATGACAAAAAAATAAGCATTTTAGGAAGAATTAAAGTCCAAAGTTGGTTTAATTTAAATTATTAGGGTTTTGTTAGTATTTTTACAAGCTTGCTAGCTATGCATGAATTATTAATAAGTTTAGAAAAGTTTGTAGATAAGTAAGATAACCTAAAAATATCCTGAGTATATACATGCGATTTTAATGAGAATAGACTTTACTCAAGGTATATTTCAATTAACCCGCCAACACGTGACAGAAAGCAGTTGCCAAGCTATTCATGACAACTGATCATGCTATGCTAATCGACCTTCACCCAAATAAGTTAAAGCCAATACATTTCTAAAGGTTTGAATAACGTAAATCATAAAAACTTGCACAGCACGACCTGTTGCTATGGCTAGCTTCGCCACTACAGAAAAGGAGCATCTGTAAAATTATCCTGATTTATTTTCTCCAATTTTTTTATCTCGATATCCAAGTTCTACTTGCAAAGACTGCAAAGGCAAACACAAGATGAGATTGCACATAAACGGATTTGTTTTCCAAAAGGAATTCTTAATTAAACTTTAAAATTGGGTTATATTTAGAGAGCAGAGCAGTGTCTTAGTTATAATTAGTATATTATGTCTTTCCTAAGATTCTTATTTTTTAAACATTAGTTGTTTCCACCCACCAGTGTGCTACAGTGGATTTAAAATCTTCCTTCGTAGCCATCTGCACTCTAAAGTCCAAGATTGGTGCATCACCAAAAGTGCTCGACCAATGAGGATCACCGTGTGGCTCAACTGGAATGTCATTGGATGGAACTGACCACGTGATTGTGTTGTTTTTTTTGCCAACCAAAATGAACCCCCCGCCGTCCGTTGTCATGTCACACCACGCCTTAAAGATGACGTAATACACTGTCACTGATCTCAAATAATCATTATTGGATATAAATTGTCGAAATTCAGTCTTTATATCAAGCAAATGGTTTTTTATGTAACTTGAAAGATACAGTTTCTTTCTACACTGTTTTTAATAAGTTTAAAATATCTTAAGCTTGGGATAGATGCATGATAAAGCGAGTTTCTTTGTATAATCCAATGAGCAGGAGACCGGCATTACTCGATCAGCGTCAGTTACTTTTAAGTTATTTATTTTGTAGCTAATATTTAATAAAATATCATGGGAACTGTTGATTAAATCACTTGAGAACTATTTTACATTATTACTTACAATTTAAAAACTTTACCTTATTCACTTTGTGAGGTAAAATTTTTAAAAGTGTTTGATTAGTAATGATGCAAAATAATACTCAAGTGATTTAATCAACAGTTTCAATGATATTTTATTAAATATTAGCTACAAAATAAATAACTGAAGTAACTGACACTGATTGAGTATGGGCTTCCTGTGGTATAATGCTCAACAATCTAATGGACAGCTTAACAATTTTTTTATATAATAACTATAAAAATATTCTTACCTTTTTCGGGTTCGATGATTTTAAAGTTATCCAATAAAATCCATCTTCAGCATCTTGACGTTTGTTCAAAATATCAGCACAATCATAACCAGGGTTGAAAAATTCACCAACTGTATTTTGCGAGCCTTTTGAACAAAAATATGACTAAATAAAACCTATTGATTGTATGTTATAATGTTGGTTGGAACAATGTTAATATGTGTTTGTAAACGAAATATATCATGCTGGCAAAAATGAAGCAATTATACTGATGGCATACATACATCTATGCATTTAGCCGATCTTATAGTCGGTCAGAAAAAGCCAGACATTTTTTGTGTACTTGTTGGCTGATTCCGACTTTTGAGAATTTCTCACTCGATCAGTTTGATCCAATTTCCACCAAGATTTGATCGATTTGTCCTTAGGTTGTGCTCATCAACATCACTAAATATTGATACTAGATTTGTTTGGTACCTTATGCAAATTATGCCAAAACACACAGATCAATCATCCGCGCAAAAGGTACCTCCCTCAATCAAGTCTTCTCAATAGATTCTTTTCGCGGAAAGTACTCAGTCTGGGCAATAAAGCCAAGACTTTGGAACCCTTTATCCCGTTACTAATGACCTAATAGGCAATTCCAGCTTTTAGTTTATGCTTGCAGGGGATGATGGGAAATAAGGTATCATAGTGCTGATTATGCTGAAAAATTTCAATAAAAACTACCGAAACAACCGAAATATTTCAATATTTACAAGTATAAGCTATCACTCTGTGTTTTCACAGCCACCATTTCTATTTTTTCAGCATAATCAGCAATGTGATACCTTACTTCCCATCGTCCCCTGCACGCATAAACTAAAAGCTGGAATTGCCTATTACAGTATAAAAATTCTCCTTATATTTTCCAGGTAGTTGCATCCGAAGGCTTGTTCATTTGATTGGCACTACTACCTACACTGGCAAATACATTTCATAATTATAGAAAGGTCTTTCAGATTATCTACCGTAAGTCTATATAAATGATTTCGTAAATGTGTCACCTGCAGCAATATAGAGAGCTTAAGATACAGTCGGTTTCAATTTTTGCTGATGCATGTAACTATATAAGCATGTTCACCCGTAATTTCTACCTGTTTCCCCGCGGAAACCATGGTTACACGTAAAAGACAAACGGGTACGGGTGTTTTCTGTTTACTATTTGTTGGTCGTTTAAAGTAAAATACTGCAACATTTTAGCTAAATAAATTAATACACATATGCTCGTCAATTTTTCCAAAATCTATGGTGAATCTCAAGAATGAAACTTAGCATTCTCTGATCAGTTTTCATACCCAGGAGGCCAGGAATATCTTGGATTTCTTAAGTTGCAAGTCGTACCTGGTTTACGGAGTACGGGTATACGTGTATATCACCCATACCCGCTTACCCGGAACCAGGGTATCTTATAACCTCTCTAATATGAAAAGATTGAACACTTTCCGGAAGGGGGTATTGCCTGCTAATTTGCAATCATACTAAATATCAACTATCTACTTTGGTAAATTAGTTTTTATAATTCCTTTGTCTGTTGTAATAAGCTTGAATGTATCTTCATGCATTAATTAATGCGCCTACCATTATATTTATCACTGTTTATAAACCTATATGTAAGATGGTTCTACTCCCTTTATAGCTTACCATCAGTAGATTCCCATTGGTAAGCACCCTTATCCTTTACACAGATAACGACTTTTTCTTCATCAGCTCTATTTTTTACTAATACTTCTTTACCATGAGTTTTCTTTTTACAAGGACCGGGATCATAACCTTTCACCACGGGAATACGCTGCAATAAATTTTAAACAGTACATAATATTCATTATGTTACAAAGATAGGTATATAAACTACACATGTTTTGAAATATTAAGTTTTACATCACTCTCAGCATGCAAAAATTCCATTCCACAAAAACATTTCTCTGAAAGGTATGACTGTTCAATACATTCTTATTTCTCACTACGCATGTTAAAAGTTAAGCTTTTTCAAATTTTTGCCTTTTGGGTAGTTTTTAGTTCGGAATTTGCTTTCACTTCTCCTTTTGTCAATGGAAACATTTTAGTCACGAATACGGGCGTGTGGAAAGCAAATTTAGCCAGACTGCCAACTATTCCAAACTCTGCTGGAAAGTTTTTCCTCAACGTTTTTGTTTCAGCTGACTCAATGCTAATATGCTTCATAACCTGTTGGCGAGACTTGGCGAGGGCAATTATCATTATATCAATATTCAGAAGTATGTGCATTGTATAAATTTGAAGCAAGACCCCTCAAGTTGTTTGGGCACCATGTAGAAATGCAATAAACTTTGCTATTTTATCAATCAGAATATATTTACCCTTTCTACAACTCTATATATAAATGGTCAGTGTACATATATTAATACCAACAACATGCCTGCTTCATGCCAACACTGCAAGCAAAACCGGCTAGTACCACAGGCAAGATCCAACTAGACTTCATTTTTGAGTCACTCTAATAAACAAAAGAACAAGAAATATCGAGTTAAGTTTTAACTGAGACAGGTACAGTTTATATATAGGAAAGCTTCGGAATAAGAGGGATACAACTAAATGAAAAATACAAGGAGCACTTCGACGTTTCAAGCAAAGGGCCTCCTCACTGCACGCTATATAGCTACAATCTTGGACATAACTGGTTGAGAGTATTTTCCCCCTATATTTAACTCGCATGTTTTTATGATAAACTCCATGTTGAATCATGTTGCCCTTCTTAAGCCCCCGCTCCCCCATCTCATTTAATGTTATGGTAGGCTATATATTATCAAAAGTTGTTTTCAGTTTATAGAAGCCTTCAACCTTCGGCCGTTTCAGTGATGTGCAAACATTATCTCTTGTGATCACAGCCGACATGTCAGGCAGTAATTTTGAAAAAGATAAATTCTGTAGCGGCCTACGGTGAATTATACCGGCCCTCACTTCGTTAACGTGTTCTTATAGTTTAGTTTAGTTTAATGAAATATGTCACATTACAAATTACAAATTACAAATAAATGCAGGATGCAACACCTAAACTAACGATAGCACGAATACGAAGTGACAGGAAAGGATCCTCCCCCTCCCTCTTAACGAATGCTTTTTGCCAGACGAGTTATAGGGGCTGTTTACATGATCCCACTTTGTCGGGATGAGATGAAACGAGAAGCGGATGAAATAAGGCACGGTTCATGTTTCAGCAAAGCTGCATTATTTTCCTACATTGTTAAAATATGTAGTTTTTTACCGTTTTTTACGGTAAAAGGTATATACTGTAATCGTAACAGCATGATGAATTGTATTTAAAAAGAAATCTGTTATTTGACACTTGCTTCACAGTAATCTTTTACAGTAAGTATTCTGTAATTGTACATTGACGTCATGTGTTTGACCGTAATCTTTTACAGTAAGTAAACTGTCAATAATTGCAGATTATGGTGTTTGAAAAGAAATCTTTTAGAGCCTTTTTACGGTATAAATACAGACTTCGGTTAAACCGTCTCTGTAAATTACAGTACATTGTCTGGCGTCTCAGCTGCCAGTATTTTTATTGTAAAGTTACAGGGGGCTTTTTAACAGTGTATACTGATAGATTACAATGTAATTGTAAACGAAAGTTTGTTTATAAGCAACACTAATAATCTTCTTGAACTACCCGATCTATGTCTGTGTATAATGTACAGCGAAGCTCTATAAAAGCTTTAACTGTATATAGAGCTTATAAACAAAGTTACATCGTATATAGATACTTGCTATAGTTCCCATACTATATACTTCCCATGTAACATGCGGTTTTATAATGATTAATGGCTAGCCTATAAACCTGTTATCCTCTCATTTCTAAACTTCATGCAAACACTTGTGTGCATGGAAACTGTTAGCTGGTCAAACTTAACTCACCGTTCCGACTTTTGAGCGAATAAAGATCTTTTAAATTAAACTCTCAAATGTCTGAACAACTCTACTGAAGGCGCTGTTTTCATACCCGAAACCTGTTTGCGGCAGGGACGGATTAATGGAAGGCGGGATAATTTTGATGAAGAAATAATTCTGTAGTTCAAACGCGTCGGTTAATTTAAAACTGAGAACTCACTGAAATGTTGATCAGAATATAGTTATGACAAAAAATTTTCTGTGATGACTCGGTTATTATAGAATAACTTCTGTAAGCAATTACTAGGCATGTATGTAGACTTGTATTGACAAATAAGAATTGACAACCTAAAACACTGAACAAATTAATGCATGCATTGACTGAAATGTGTGCATTAATTAAAAACGTTTAATACTGATGAAAAACTATATACGCCTTGTATATAAGTGCAACTAAATACATTTGGAATAAAGTTTACTGACGAAAATCAGGGATGCCGGGAGTTGCTGAGGGCAAGGTGTGCAATTGGTTAACAAAAGGGCATACTCTTTAACAGAAAGGCACCAATGAAAATAAACGGCGTCATGATCCAACATTCGTGTCGACCTCCCTCCCTGTCACCAATTTTTTTCGGACTGAATACAATTATTTAGGCACAATTCCTCCGTAATTTCTCGCCAAAAATTCCATAAGTAATGCTTTCCGTTTCACCTTTCGCCAAATGGATAACAACTTTGCCGAATTCCTGACGACTGGGGGTGGAACACCCCCACACGCATCCTCGAACGACGTTTAATTCTGTCTGTTGTAAAAGTTTTGTGCACCGGTTACACCCATAGTCTGCACCCGCACTGCACCCACAAAGTTGAAAATGCAAAAGGCAAGGGGTCCACTTGCACCCGCTGCACCCGTGGTTCCGACATCCCTGACGAAAACAGTAGCAAAGAATATACTTCTGGTACTCTTCATATATGATAATTATACATGCATGTGTATAAGAATAGTATAAAAAACAGCATTGTAATTATTTAATTCCCCGGTTAATTACTGATCTGCAAAGAGGGTCTACAATGTATAGGTTTGTGTGAGCGGGATACCAGTTTGACAATGTATAAAAGTTCGCGAAAATTTGTGAGATTCGGGATTTAATAATAAAGTCGAGATACTGAGCGAGCTCCGAGACGAAAATATCTATATAGGTCAAACGTGGAACAGAAAAAAATTGCCGGTTGCATGGGTTTGGGATTTAAGAATCCTATAAATGTATAATTATTTTGAGCCAGCCGACTCAGTTATAATATACCATATAACTATAATACCAATACTGATATACCACGAGCCATGTACACTTTCAGTTTAAGTTAAAAATAACAAGTGGTAACGACGTACATGACGGGAAAATAATTTTTGCTAGAAAATATAAATCATTTACCTTTAGAATATTAATTCTTCGGAAAGTTTCCCAGTTGCACCTTGAGGACTGCAAGATATTCTGATCAAGTTAGACCCCAACACATACTTTTATAATCTCGGACATTGCAATAACAGGAAGACGTACAGTATGATTGCTGGCCCATTTTCTCATGGAATTGAGTTCCACAGACAATAATTAGTAAGACTAGCTTCAGCTCAATCCTGAAGGTATTGTTTTTTATTTGACATTCCTTAACAACAGACTGTATACACATGAATTAAACAGCCACCCAATGTTAAAAACATGTCACTCAATCCAATATTAACCATGAATGAACTCGAAATCATTGTTTAATTGTTTTGAAATGCAATACGGATAGTGCAAAATCACAAAACAGTGTAGCTACTAAGGTTTTCCGTTTTCCTAAAGTATGTCGGTTTAACTATTATCAATGTCAATGAACAAGTAGCCTATTACTTTTAGAACTGGCCAAACGCTAATGCATGAAGGTATACTTATGCCTTAAACGGGTCGAGTTAATATTACGAGTTAAATTGATTTTAGTTAAATCTTATTTTATGAATGAAGCATACAACTTTTCAGCAATGCGAGTTAAAATGAGTTAAAGCGTTTTAACTATATTGAAATATTGGCCAGTTTTGGTTCCGATTGTAAGCAAGTTAAAGCAGTGAGCTTATAGGCGATTTTAGCGGATAAATTTAAGCGATTTAAAATGAAGGAGTGTAGTGTAGTGTTGGCCGAAACACAATATCATATCATGCACACACTGCGCGTTTTAACTGTTTATTTTATCTATGTTACAAAGTCACCCTTCCCAGCCTTACATGTGCAACTCATAGATATCTTATATACACTAGATAGTGCATCTAATTATTCTGCAATTCAAAAATTGAAGCCGTGATTGCAGACTCAGGATATTCCCATGAAATGAGAAGACTCGTATGTATGTTTTCTATTTCTTAAACAGGGAACTTAAACATTAAGCTAAACCTATTCCAAATACATTTTCAAACTATTCAAATGATGAAAGTTATTGTTGTTTTTTAAGCGAGTGGGAAACTTCAACATGGCCGCCATCTATTCAAATTGTGGTAACCGCTGGAATATTCTTGGCTTCAATTTTACTAAAAAAGATGCGCTATCTAGTCTATATAAGATATGTATGGTGCAACCTTCTCTCTATGGATACACACGCACTCTGCTCAGGTTACTACTGATCATGTGCTTACTCGACTACTACAACTGATCATGCATGTGCTCACTCAACTACTGTCCGGAAAATGTCTGTTAATAACATTAAGCTACTGTCTGTTAATAACATTAAGTTATTCAAATGTTACAAGAGTTCAGCCACTATTTAACCGGCGAGTTAAGGTGTCAGAGCATGTCATGGCCATATCTCTTTATAAACCACAACAGGCATTAAAATAGCCTATTTTGTGACACTTCCTGCCCTTGTAAAAGGAAAATGTGTTCTTGTAAATCGAAAAGTGTGTACTTAATTGGTCTTGGGAATAAAGCCAGGAAAATCCATTTCCAGCCATTTTCCACAGCAACTCGTTTTGTTTAAAGTAATAATGTGTTTATTGCCTGAAGATAGCCAGATATATATTTCTGGTTTATACATTTCTGGTTTTTCTGTTTATAACATGTCAAGAAACGCCTGTAAAATTACTAACGACTTCAATTGTTTTCCTATAAGCGGTTTCATGATCATGGTAACATCCGCAGAAATCATGCTACAAAAATCAGGATATTCGCCGAGATATTCGCCTTTAAGGATTTTCTTTAGACAATTAAAAATTTAGTTATGAATATGTAGATTGCATGATTTATGTACTTGTTAGACAGCCCCATTGGTCTAAACGGCCCAAAAGTGCCGAAAACTCGTGCACTTCCGTGACTCCCAAATTTTAAAATATTTACTGATACTGCACTGAAATATATCATTAGTACATTTGCATAACCAGTCTGATTTCGTAGCTCGGGATATAAAGTTATACGGTGAAAATTAAGTTATTGACAGCTAGCCCATGCACATTTTACCTATTGGAAACAAATTTTTGTCTTAAAAAGGCACTGAACTTTAAAGTATTTGTGCTCAAACTAGTCTGCCGGTCCCTGCCGGCGATCCACACAAGCGATTGTTGCCCCTGGTGTGCAGGTAAAATGTGCACTTGTAAAAATCCTTATTTTAATGCCTGAACCAGAACGAGATCACCTGCTAGAAACCTGAATAAAAATAAAACAAAATATGTGCCTATGTCATATCAGGGAATTAGCCTATTTAGATATAGTTTAGATGATTTTAAGAACTTTTGCAATTTATTTTATAATTTGAAAATTTGATCTTCATGGACTTCCAGGGGCTCAAAGTTAGCGATTTTGCCTGTTTTGAGCGTTCGACCGTGAACATGAAAGTACTGGGGCGAGAATGCCTTTTAGCGCCGGCGTGACCAATCTCGTTTGAATTTCCCGAGCCTGCGATCCTCGGGAAGGAACATGAGGCTCTGGAATAATGGCAATTGCTAGACAGTATACTTCAAAATAAGGTTTCCGTTTTTATATCAATTTTTAAAATAAGTTAGGGTTATGTTAAAGTGTAGGTTAGGGTTAGGTCGGGGTTAGGGTTAGGGTTAGGGTTAGGGTTAGGGTTAGGGTTAGGGTTAGGGTTAGTATTAGGGTTTTGTTTTGCGTTAGGATAGTTTTTTTTTCTACGTTATAAAAACGGAAACCTTATTTTGAAGTATACTATCTAGCAATCGCCCTGGGATAATCCGTTGCCGGAAGCCAGGAATCCTGGCTAAGATTGAACTGCGCATTCCATATCAACGGCCAATCAGATTCCTCCCTGAAACGGATTATCCCAGAGCCTCACGTTCCTTCCCGAGGATCGCAGGCTTATCATATTATGTGATGTAATGTGTAATGTGTAATGTGTAATGTGTAATGTGTAATGTGTAATTTGTAACTATATACTAACTGTAATTATTAACCTAACTTTTTTTGTAAATTTGTATTGTGCAACGGCTCCTTGGAAAACAGCTCTTATCTATGCTGAAGGGCTACCGTTGTTTTTAAAGAAGATTAAATAATAATAACATGTATAAAGTCGGTACATGTTTGCGGGACAATATAACCACACTAGCGAAACAAAATATTCCTGATATGCATTGCACTGTAACTCCGACGGAACTTTCCCAGGGAAATATCGACTAGGTTCAACAACATTTTAATTCTCTACGATCCGACTATTTGTTTACAGCCATCTTCAAAAAATGCCACGTTTCCAAAACCAGCCAACTGTTTGGGTTTAAATAAGTTTTAATATATACGATTGTTTTAGTTAGAAATATAGGGATATTATTGAAGTCGTTCGGAGACCTCCAACTCCAACGGATATTATTCTGATAACAAACTGAATTTGCGTAAAATTCGTGTATATAAAGGATTACTACAATTTGAGACCGTTCTAATGAGCGATAGCGGTTGCATATAACTTAGTCTTTACGATATATACGTGTACTTATTATATGCATTAAATGTGTAAATTAACAATTGTAGCAAAACTCAATAAATAAATAAATCTGTATCGGCAAACTCTGTGCCATTATCTCTATTCGAGCTCTCTGTCCCATTTCTGGACAATGATAGCCGCAAAAGGCATGAAATGCGCCTCATTTCCAAACTTTGCACTGTCCACCCATATATGGTATTAACAAACGTGTCCCCTAGTTTATGGTTCTATCTGACAATAAACAGACATTGACAGTACTTTTACTGATCTTCACCTAATCCATATACTTGTTTCATCCAAGAGGAATCATCAGGTGGCTGACAGAGGTAGGGCTGCAGACCAAGGTAGCATGGACTGAGGTATACAATGCACTGTGCAGGCTGAAACATTGGTTTCCCGAAGCTGCATGGGTAAACAAGAAAATATTTGTTAGAAATATTTGTGTGCGGCTACATGTAAATTGATGTATTAAAACACCTTAAAGTTGTCACAGGTCTGCAAACAAGTTGTGACAAAGTTGTTGTCAAGCCGATATCAGGATGTGCTCCCAAAAGTGACAAATATCAAATATATATACAATATCTACAATATCGCATTACAAAATAGTATGATGAGCCTTTAAGTACTAAGGACACATATAAGTGGTAGGAACCAAGTCTCTAGTTAACATCGCATTGCTGTCTGAAACCCCATATAGTCCAGTGGTAAAACAACCGAACCGGCAATCGGGAAACTAATTTTGGCGGCATTTTGCCTCCTATAGTGCTTGAGTTACGGAAACAAAAATCTTTAAAAATTCTTATGTTTTGTCATATGTGCTGAAGATTACCACAAACTGATACAAACACAGTTTTTAATCCAGTCCAATGTTGACAAAGACCTCGCTTGCTTAAGTTTGTTTAGTCGAAAACAATGTCGGTGACCCCAATTTTTATTTTATTAAAAGTTTTCTTCTAGTATGAGCAATCAATCTAGTATAAAAAATCCTGTAATCCAAAATTTTTTGTCAGGAATAAACACGTTTTTTCAATTTGAAAATTTTGGATTACAGAATTTTTTTACAAATTGTCCTAATGATTGCTCATACTAGAAGAAAATTTTTAATAAAATAAAAATTAATTAAACTCTGGAGTTCAAATGCAAATTAGCAGCCATTTTGAAACGTCATTGTTGCCATAGTAGCAACAGTTACGGACTTTTTCGTTGCAGTTTCTGATTCTCAAAATACTGTTCTATACAAGGCATCCGGTTTCATTCTTCTATAAAAATATCAATGTACAAAATTTTTTGGTCGGAAATGTGTCTTTTCCACTTTTCAAGAAACTGTATGGAGCCACCTTAAGCTCGCTAGTACAAATGAGATCGGACGGAGATGATAGTCTAGGAAAATCCTTATATTTATGTCTGGCTGGATGCCTTTCTCTGTGTCACTCTTTGTCTTTGGAAACCGTCCTTCAAACCAGAAATCCCGAACTTGAGATGAAGGTGGGGTTGCGGATATACAGGCACGCGGATATATACAGGATCAAGTGTCGTCAAGATTAACATAAAAAGCTTTTATAAAGAAAACTACATCGAAAACTATAAAACCGATCACGTAACAATTTCACGTTATTATACTATATTGTAAATAATAGTGTCTCAATGAATTTTTTGAATTAGATAATAACTGAACTGGTTTAACAAACATAACCGTATCTCCGCGTTTTCTACATCCCGTCAAATCGGTATACTTATCCATTTCCTATTTTCAGAAATTACCAGCACACCACAGACGTCACAGCGCTCGCAAGCGATCTTATCAACACAGTTTGATGCTCTTCCGAAGAGAAGCATTGAAAACGAAATCTCCTAGCATTAATTCGTGCGTGTGCAAGAGTGTCATATTGTATTGCGAGGAAATTCCCATCTTCAGAAGTCTATAATTGCTTTCAGCAGAAAAAGGTGACTTGTTAGTTTCATTTATTTATTTATTTATATTCCGCATAATTTGCCGCAACTTACTACCATTCGATTCAGTAATACAATATCCAATTCCTAACGATAGTTTTAGTCAATATCAACATCGTAGCGATTTATGGGCCTTTGAAAGCCAGATCGTATATAATCAATTATTTAATTTTCTGAACTGATAAATTATAAACTAATCATACCTTTCGCCAAACAAACTTCGAACCCTTAGGACGTATCTTCTTCGTAAGTTGAGCAGAGCCTGGCGCATTATGCGACGTTGGAGTGACATTGATTCATACGTCGCTCCACTTATGTGCGAAACCTAACTCAACTTTTTAAAATTTATTAGTATTAGATTAGATTATTAATCTTTTAAAGACTTCTTTGTTTTGAATTCTTTTTATTTAGGATTCGCTCGCGAATGCTTTTATTAATGTGTGTACCGAACTGAAAAATGTGTCAAATTTGCAACCGGATGAAATCTTGGTGTACGGACCGTGGTATTTACCGCAGATGGGTAATTGTTATGTACAGTATAAATATACAGTATAAATATTTAACAATTAGATTACGAGCTCGAGATTTCTACAAGGTGATAGTTGATGAGGACGAAGCCCAAATCAACTATCACCGTAATAGAAACCTGAAGCGAGTAATCTAATTGTTTTAGTTGAATCAAAGATCAAACAAAATATATAAGGCTCTAAACATTTGCCACAACGGGCGGAAGTCAAACAATTATGTCGAATTACGTGTTGTGACGTCACTTTGCAAGGGCTGAAGAAAAGCACAGACAGTTGATCAAACACAGACTCCAGCAGATAATAGATATACAAAATCGGTTAACGTTTGTTTATCACTAATTCACTACCTCCTCCGCAGGCCATACAGCCCGTAATGAGTATGCCCGTTCGCAGGTTGAAATTTGAAATTTGAGGCGAAGGCTTGCGTAATTCGCACCAATTTTATTAACGTCGTTTATTCCCTAACCACCTGACACTCATGAAGTTATTGACTCTTATGCGCTTATCGTCACCGAAGAATCAGTTTTCAGGGTTTTTTTTTCAGGTTTTTTTCACGTTTTATCCCCCGATCCGGGTTTTTTTCTTTTATCCGCGTTTCATCCCCTCTTTCACCGCGTTTTATCCTGACTCCGCGGTCTAACGCTTGAATTCAAATGGTCAGTAATATTTTAAAAATTCCTCTCAGAAACACAGCTCGATATTTCAATGTATTGAAAACGAAACTGCGTAGCTTTTATTGAAATGTGTACAGAACTGACTTGTAAAAATGTGTCAAATTCTCAACCGGCTTAAAATCACTTGATATATCTATATTGATCTGTTAAGTATTTTTCACTCAGTTAGCACCAACTGTATTCTAAGTAGAATTGAGATATGTATCTACGAATGTCAACATTTCTGAAAATGAGCATCATCTGTTACACTAGTTGGTCGCCATCTGCTAGCCTATGAGAAGACCCAATAGTAAGACAATTTTTTTCATTCGACAGGTCAACATGAGGGGAAAGAAGGAATTATTCATGCTGATCACAGGCCTCGTGTTGTTCATATTTGACCTGGTCACAGACATCTTTGTAGGTGTACGGTATAGGCTTAAAGGCGAATATTGGTGGTTTGGTCTGACGTTACTTTTTATTATCGTACCTCTTTACATCGTCGGTGTTATGGCTGCCTATCAAACAGTTTCTAAAGATAATTTAATAAGTTCTTTATCGTTTGCATGTACATGGTGGCCCATTTTTGCGCGTTATGTCGACGAGTTCAAATATTGGAAGCAAACATATCGGGATGATCACCCTTGTGGAGACAACTATAAGGAATGCAGTTGTGCAGATTGCGAACAGTACCGCGTGGCGATAACGACGTCTAACAAGTCAGCATACAGGCTCGCGTGGGTACGTTATGTAGAGACACTTACTGAGTCTACTCCACAATGGTGTCTACAGGTTTACATCATGTTACGTCAGTGGGATTTTCCATGGTTAACCGTGCTCTCAGCCGTGGTTTCCCTGCTTTCTTTAGCATGGAGTATTACCGCTCTTGAGAAAGCGAGAGTAAATAAAAATAGCCATAATTTCACACTGCCAGCCACGGTTGTATTTTTCACTTCTCAATTGTCTAGTCTGCTATCCAGACTTTTTGCAATTTCAGCAGTGGCATACGTCTTTAAGGAACATGTGATCACAGCACTGGTGGTTCATTGGAAGATGATGTCTGTTGTCACATGGTTGAGAATCACTAATTTTGATGACGGCATGTGTGATGAAGTAAAAAGATTTTTTCAGAACAGTATTCTCAGCTTTCTGCTTATGTTACACGTGCCGAATGCGTTCACCAAAGAATATTCCAGTTCACGCATTCTCCATATTGTGTTGTACAATTTAATATCTGTAGAGAACGTTTTGCTCGCAATCTTTGCGGTGACAATACCAACACCTGATGTGAAACATATGAGTGTACTGAGACCAATTGTGCTGTCGTTGGTTATAATAGGCGTGGTCCAAGGTACCATTTTTTACATAATATATGACAAGCTCTTCACACCGGGACAAGAACCACATGAACCAGACGAAGAAGAAAACGTGTAATACAACATGCTACCAAGTGAACGATATCTGGAGAAAAAAAACCACTTTTGAACATCTCTGCATGCATAAATTCATGTTGCTATGAGAATTAACAATGCTGTATTACAACTCATACTACTATATACCAATAGTAAAAATATACATGAAAGAATTACTTAATTCTGATTAAGAGTCCTGCAATTTTATTGAGAAACCGTGTCACGTGGAAATTGGTTTAAATTTTGACAGTTGAAAACTTGCATGAAATTGTTGTGTCATTCCAATGAATGAGTAAATCATTTATATCTCACGTGGTTCATGCAACACGTGACCACAATTTGTTTCTGCATAATTTCTTCATGTATATTATGAATCATAATAGTGTGGTTTCTCGTGGAATTTGGAGAAAAAAAACAATTGTAAGTTTTTCAAAAGCTGCTATCGTTCTTCGTCGGGACTTGTACAAGTTTTATTGTCAAATTAACAATTTTTTACATTATATATAGAATTGTAAATCGCACTTAGTTAACGTAATTTACAAATATAGCTGTCAATATAACTATATAATAGCCTATAACCAATCAGCATGAGCTCCACCTTTGAATTTACTATATGAGTAAATTCTTAAACACGTCCGAATTTATCATTATGATAAATTCGCGGCAAATTTTGAATTTATCATAATAATAAATTCGCGGCACCTAACACTAACCCTAACCCTAACCCCAACCCTAACCACTAACCCCTAACCACTAACCCCTAACCCTAACTTTTTTAACTTTTCAAATTTTTTTAACTTTTTTAAAAATTTAACTTTTTAAAATTTTCTTGCTTTTCAAAACTCTTTTAAAACTTTTTTAAAAAATATTTTTTCTAAAAACTTGAAATGTCTTTTCCACGATGGGTGCCAACCCATTGCTGCTTGGCAGCATCTGAATCAGCTGTAACGATTGTTTAGTTAAAAGTTGATTACGCAGTAGTTTTTTCAGTAAAGAGAAACTGTGAACGCGTATACAAGCAAAGTCATAGAAGGAATTTTGTCTTTTGGTATACTCTTGCAATTAAATTCACCGCTATTTTCCCTATTCAATCTTGGTAAGTCTTGTGTAAAGTGAGTATTATGGGCCACACCGGACGCGATTCGACAACGCGGCACGATTTTCCACTTATACGTTTTTGAAAGTTAATAAAACAGCCAATGAAAGGAAATTTTAAAAGACATGTAGACCAAATAACTCAAAATGTTATAGCGCTTCTAAATATTTGAAAAACTTAAACCAGGATCAAAGTTATCGGTCAGTGAAATTCAAAAAATCGCGCCACGTTGTCGAATCGCGTCCGGTTTGACCGCGGCCTTAATTATATATTATACTAAACAGTGTCTCGAGAACTCAAAGTTGTAAAACGGCAACGACGCTTTTTTACACTATAGCTAGGGCGCAAGAGAAACTAAAAAATATTGTTGCTAAAACATCGTTTATTAGCGATTGTTTCTAATTGTTGGCAAACCATAATTTCCTAGCCATGTTTCCCAAAGGTTTTCCCATGCATTCGTCTCCCAAAACTGGACAAACCATTTGTCATACTAACATTTGTATACTCAGCATGTATAAATTAGTCTATATACATGTTTGCGGGACAATATAACCACACTATAGCGAAACAAAATATTCGTGAATATTGCTTCCCGGAAAAACAACTTTTGTTTCCGAGTAACAATTAACGTTTTCAAGAATGGACAAACAGACTGGGGGAATATTTGAAGAAACAAAAAGATTTTACGATGTTTCGGTAACAAATTGAGAAGTTTCCTGTTCAGCTTTATCAAGTATTACATTAATTTTACTATAGGAACCATATTGTGTCGGCTATTTCCGGGTCTAATATTCACTCCGCCTACACACGTAAAAACGCACAAGTTGTAAGAAACCTACAGCAGACTTGTAGCAATGCTGTTCCAACAACTTGTCAACAGGATGTGTTCGCACTGCTTGTTCCCAGTTTGTTAACTTGAACTTGCTACAAGGTTGCTGAGCTCAACAGCCTTGCTACAAGTTGTTCCAACAACTTGTTATCGTCCTGCAATTCAACAATTTGTCAACAAGTTGTGAGTGACAACCTTGTAGCAACTTGATAAGATAACAGCATTGTTACAACTTGTTGACAAGCTTGCTACAAGCTTGTTGCGAACACATCTTGTTGACAAGTTGTGAGACAGTAATACTTTCAAATATTCTGGTTAAACTGATTTTCTTTTGGGTTAATTTAATATTGCTGGTTAATGCACCTTTCCCAACCTCTATAGGGAGAACAGATTAAAACAGTTACAGCCATCTAGTATAAATAAATTTAGTTTAGTTTTGGTTTCTTCCTGGTAGACTTAGCAGTACACATGTAACACACAGAACTAGTAAATAACGTAACCTTGGCTCACTATCTGAGACCTTATAGCTCAATGGTTAGAGCGTCTGTCCGGCTATCAGAAGGTTACATGGTTCGATTCCCGTTAGGGCTCAGAATTTTTCTATAGGCTTGTAAGAGTATAGGCTTGATATATATAATGCCAAAAAGAGTTCTCGATATCATATAGATAGAGAAGAAATAGTCGTTTTACCTCAAAAGTTTGCCACATCAGCTTGTTTCATCCAAGAGGAATCCTCAGGTGGCTGACAAATTTCGAAAAATGGGCTGCTTGAATGTTTACGGTCGGAAACGTGGGTGTGTGGGCGTCAAACAATGGAAGGAATGGCTTGAATGTGGGCGTCAAACAATACGTGCATTCCTTTCACTGTTTGACGCACACGCGCCCACGTTTCCTACCGTAAACATTTCAGCAGCCTACTTTTCGAAACTTGTCAGCCACCTGAGGATTCCCCTTGGATGACACAGGCTGTTGTGGCAACCTTTTGAGGTAGAACGACTATATATACATATTTACCTCAAACTATTATATATTAGTTAGTATTAGTTATATATTAGTTAGTATATATTACCTATTATAAGATTTAAGATTTATTTGCGGGTTAGGTTAGGTTAGGCTTTTTCTTTCGTCCAAATTGCGAGGATTTTAAGCATTAAATAATTAGCATATTTAAGAGTTCTGCATTGCCTCGAGTCTGACATTATTCTACTTAGTTAACATTATTCTACTTAGATACCAAAACGGATTTTTTTCTCAGTGAAATTTGAAAACTGCCCTTAAAGCTTATTAACTAGGTTACCCACAGGGCAGTAATGCTGCCTTTGACAGCAAAAGACAAACTACAGGATGTTGAACGAGTCCTTCAGAAACATCCTATTATTGTTTAGCCTGCATGGCAGGCGGTTCCTAAAATTGGGCAAGCCTGGGAAATACCGCCTGCCATGCAGGCTAATTATTGTTATCCTTGTTAACCCATTTAGTTATTGATTTCTCGGTACATACAAAATTATTTTAAAGTATAATAATCAGCGAAGACGTAAGGCACTAACTACCCTGCGCGGCTGCGCGCAGACTATATAACGACATATATATGTCATCCGTCCGGTCCGTCCGTCATTCATTCATTCATCCGTCCGTCCGTATCCGCGTTTTATCCTAACCCGTTTTTAAAACACAAAGTTTGCATTTAATTAAGGCAGTGCGGTTCGTCATGATCAATATTTTCAAAAGCGGCCAATTAGACCAGGGGTTAAAGGGCAATGACAATGACATGCAGGTGACATTTAACATTGCGTCTCACTAATTAAAATTTGCGTGTTTAATAATGTTGATCAAAGAAAGCAAAAATGTATACAAGACAATCTCACATGTGGAGTTTTTTCACTTACAGTACGTACTGCCTTGTGATGCAGTACAAGTATAAATACAAATCACAAAGCATTTGTAAATCCTAAAACATAATTAAATCATACGGCACACTTAAGATTTTAATATCGTATTTCAGCCGCGTTTATACTGTTGGCGCATTCGCTGCGTTATATTCATTTACATGTATATACTCAGAAAAGCATGTCATTGTCCTTGCAGACCATAGGCAAAAAGCATTTGTCAACCATGCACATACCAAATTTAAGCAATCGTTAAATCATATACATGTCATGGAAAGAATATGGAAATAATGTTGAATGAAAGCTAGCATCGCGTATAATATTAAAAGCACCGCATATGGTGCTCGAACCACTGCGTATAATTGTAAAAGCATCGCGTATATAAATGGTGAAAGCACCGCGTATAATACTGGAACCACCGCGTATAATGGCGAAAGCACCGTGTATAATGCCAAAAGCACCGCCGTATAATGCTAAAAGCACCCAACAAAATGCCGTTTGATTACTTTAAGCCAGCTATGGCTTTCCATAAAAGAAGACCAAAGATGAAACATGACCACATTGCCTGTTTGCCTTATGCCTGACCGCGCTGCACCACGGTTAAAATTCACTGGTACCGTCATGCAATGCGCCAAATAGAAAATTTTGATTTCGACCCACAAAACAAAATTAGGATCTGCTGCTTTGCTCGCTCGCTTCAGGCTCGCTCGCTGCGGCAGCAATTATCCCACTTTGCGACGCAATGCCAGCACGAATGATGATTAACCACCTGCTGTCTAAGTTTTGCGTTGTGTGGGCAACGTGAGTTTCGTTTCTTGATGTATTGTCGGCAGTCCCTCCTTTCCTTTCGCATGCCCGGAAATCTAAACCCGCGGAAAGGAGGGAGCGCTCGCAGTCTTCGGCGAATAATTGTTAATTAAATAATGTGAGATTGTTACGTGATCGGTTTTACAGTTTTCGATGACGATGTAGTTTTCACTATAAAAGATTCTTATGTTAAATTAATCTCGCCGACACTTGCCCTCAAATTAACATATTCGTAGCTCACGTTATTTTCTGAACACACGAAATGCCTGTACCACCTTCTTCTCAACTTCGGGATTTCTGACAAAGAGTGAAACAAAGAATGAAACAGAGAAGGACACCCAGTGTCGGACCAGCCAGATATCCATTCGATTCAGTAAAAGGCGTAAAACAATGTCCTAATTCCTAGCGATTTATGGCCCTTGAAAGCCGGGTCGTATATTATCAAACTACTTAATTTTCTGAATAAATTATAAACTAGCCATACTTTTCGCCGAGCAAACTTCAGATCCTTAGCCTAGGACGTATCTTCTTCGTACGTAATAGTCGTTTGTTTCAATCGGTATATCCAAAACACTATTTAGAGTGTTATTTTCAAGCTTGTATCTTTTATTTGGGTGTTTCTATTTCTGTGCGTAATATGGATTGGTAATACAATTTAAATCCGTGAAAACAATGCAATGTTTGCATTCTGAGTCTTGAAACGCCGGAAATCGATTCTAAAGGTCAAAGTACCCATGTACGCGTGGTTTGACGTGAATCCGGCGCTCCTTATTGGCCAAGTATAGCGTGTGGCACGCGCGTGAGAGTAAAAGCCAATATCTTCATTTCTTATTCTATGCCAATATTCTCAAAAATTCAAATTTCTACTCGCCGTATTCAAACGAAACATTTTACATAAAAGTGTTTGAATACAATCAGTATTTTACTCCTATTCACTTGGGGCAAATTCTAAAGAGTTTAGAAGATTTTCGTACGTGTTTCGTATTAGAAGCCTTTCTCATGATGACGAATATCCGCCATTGTTGGGTGGCAGTCTAATTCTCGTTAACCAATGCAGACAATTAAAACAATGTGAAAAGCAATTGTTCAAAATAAACTAACCATTTACAAAGCAAATTTACCATCATTCGTCCAAAAAATTATAAAAAGTAGCTGTTATGTGGACTTATCTCGCAGACTTCGGCTGAAAAGCCACCCAAAATGGCGGCGTTAGAAAAGCTAATTAAATCTACCCAATAGGAACCGTTAATGTCATGTTTATTTATAAAATCAACATTCAGTCTGGAAATAATTTACAGCATAATTACTACGTATCAGATTTGATTGACAGGCGTATGGATTTCAACCAATGGGAATTTTGCGTTGTGTGGGCAACGCGTATTTCGTTTCTTGATGTGTTGTCGGCAGTCCCACCTTTCCTTTCCAATGCCCGGAAATCTAAACCCGCGGAAAGAAGAAACCGCTCGCAGCCTTCGGTGAATTATTGTTAAATAATGTGAGATTGTCACGTGATCGGTTTTACAGTTTTCGATGAAGTTTTCACTATAAAATTTCTCATGTTAATATCGTAGCTCACAATTATTTTCTGAACACACAAAATGCCTGTACCACCTTCTTCTCGACTTCGGGATTTCTGACATTAGAGAGGTTAAGATAAGCCGGTTCCGATTTACGGGTACGAGTATCGCCATTTTGTTTACCAATTTTTGCTGATGTCAGCAGTTTTACCCGTAATTTCTACCCGTTTCCCCGCGGTAAACCATGGTCTGCATGTAGAAGACAAACGGGTACGGGTGTTTTCTGTTTACTATTTGTAGGCCGTTAAAATAGTAAAAATTTTCAACATCTTATCCAAATAAATAATGCACATACGCTCGTCAAAATTTTCAGCAATTTATGCGAACCTCAACAGCGAAAGTTACGTATTCTCTGATCGGTTTTCACACTCCAGAATGGCGGAATATCTTGGATTTCTTAAGTTACAAGTCGTTCCTCGATTTACGGGTACGGGTATTTTAACATCTCTAAAGAGTGAAATAGAGAAGGACAACCAGCCAGACATCCATTCGATTCAGTAAAACAATATGTCCTAATTCCTAGCGATTTATGGCCCTTGAAAGCCAGATCGTATTTGACAAATATAAAACATTTTCCGTGTTGATATACAGTTATATCAACACGAGTGGAAATTGGGAAAACGAGAAATTGTGTGAAATTTCACACAATTTCAAGCTTGCCCAATTTCCACGAGTGTTGATATAACTGTATATCAACACGGAAAATGTTTTATATTTGTTTTATAATATAGCACAAAGAAACATAAAGAAAGAAATTTTCCGACGTTTCTGTGTTGACATTGAGTTATATCAACACGGCTCTTAGCCAATCAGCGTTCAGAATTTACAAATGCTATATTATAAATTATCATATCAAACTACTTACTGATTTTCTGAATAAATTATAAACTAACCATACTTTTCGCCGAACAAACTTCAGACCCTTAGGACGTATCTTCTTCGTAATAGTCGTTTGTTCCAATCGGTATATCCAAAACACTATTTAGAGTGTTATTTTCAAGCTTGTATCTTTTATTTGGTTGTTTCCATTTCTGTGCGTAATATGAACCGGGAATACAATTTGAATTCGTGAAAACAATGCGATGTTTGCATCCTATGAGTCTTAAAACGCCGATTTTAAAAGTCAAAGTACCCATGTAGGCGTGATTTGACGTGTACCCGGCGCTCCTTATTGGCTAAGTATAGCGTGGGGCACGCGCGTGAGAGTAAAAGCCAATATTTTCAAAAATTCAAATTTCTACTCGCCGTATTCAAACGAAACATTTTACATAAGAGTGTTTGAATACAATCAGTATTTTACTCCTATTCACTTGGGGCAAATTCTAAAGAGTTTAGAAAATTTTCGTACGTGTTTCGTTATTACGTAATCACTTTCCTGGCAGCCCGCTGCTTCTATAGTTGTGGCGATGCTATCAATGCAAGGATATGACGGAATTGATAGTCTAGGAAAACCCTTATATTTATCATGTCTGGCTGCCTACCTTTCTTTGTTTCACTCTTTGTCTTTGGAAACCGATCTTCCAACCAAAAATGCCGACGTTAAGATGAAGAAGGGGTTTCGGATATACACACACGCGAACATACAGGCAGGCGGAAATTACCAGCACGTAGCAGCGCTCGCACGCGATCTTATAAGCACAGTTTGATGCTCTTTCGAAGACTAGAAGCATTGGAAACGAAATCTCCTGGCATTAATTCGTGCGTGTGCAAGAGTGTCATATTGTATTGCGACGAAATTCCCATTTTCAGAAGTCTATAATTGCTTTCAGCAGTCTATAATTGCTTTCAGCAGAAAAAGGTGACTTGTTAGTTTCATTTATTTATTTATTTATTTATTGAAGAGAAAGGTTATTGATCAAGTAAGAGAATAGGCTATTTCAGTTTATCAGCACAAAATATTGCTTGTTCGTCAAATTATTTCCATAGACATTTACTTTTCTGTAACTGAACGTTTTAACAGTAAATAGCGGTGTTTTACAGTTCAGTAAATAGCGGTGTTTTACTTTTCAGTAAATAGCGGTGTTTTAACCTTCAATAAATAGCAGCGTTTTACTTTTCAATAAATAGCGGTGTTTTACTTTTCAGTAGAAAACCTAAAAAAGTCTTCTGAAATTTGAACTACGACGTTGATCATCTGGAACAATTGATCTGTCTATCTTGTAAAGATATAATTCCGCAAAATTTGTGGCAACTTAATGTTAACATGAGTAGTTTGGGGTCTTCTGGTGTCTCTCTCACAAATTATTCTGAAACGTAAGGCCTGTTTCAGACGGCATACTTTTCGTGAGACTGCTTTTCCTCCGAACGAAATTTCGGGCTGCGAGCAGGCTAATTTTTCGTGTGCCTGACTTAATTGACGAATTAGATACGACAGAAGAGCGACGTATGAATCAACTGAGGACGGCAGAGTTTGGAGCGGCAATATATACTAATTTCGTTTTATGATCAGTATTCTAATGAACTGAGTTAGTTTAGTTTTCTCACTTTAGAAGTAGAACTGATAGAGCTAGTATCCTATATGTGCAATAGACAACAATCTCTCTCCTCCGCAGAGAGTCCACTCCACAATGGTGTCTACAGGTTTACATCTACTAGATTTCTAATCTTAACTTCTAAAGTTGAGTAGTTGGGCGCCATCTGCTAGCTTATGAGACTACCCAATAGTAAGACAATATTTTTCATTTGACAGGTCAACATGAGAGGAAAGAAGGAATTATTCATGCTGATCGCAGGCTTCGTGTTGTTTATATTTGACCTGGTCAAGACATCGTTTTAGCTGCACAGTATAGGTTTAAAGGCGAATATTGGTGGTTTGGTTTGACGTTATTTTTTATTATTATACATTTAATATGTATTCTCGTTTCTAATTGGTCAGAAAGCACCGGCTAATTTTCAGTATTCGGCATTTATTACGTATTTTCCGCCGATGACGTCATCAGCGTCCAATAATTGTTTTTTTGGATCGAACTTGCATCCAAAAAAAAATTATTGGACTCTCTCGTGCCCAAGCCCTTGCGCGGCCAAAAGCTTGAACCTATAAGCGCGCGAAAAAACAAACAAACAATGGCCTACAGCAGATTTGCTTCGCTGATTGAAAGTGAACTCTCCAAATTATTGGCAGATAAGGACAGTGAAAGCACGAAAAAAGCCACAAAGGGGTAAATAGAAGTAGAAATAGAATATTTAGCTGACCTTTGACTTTGTGCAAGGTGTTTGATATTCAAATTGTACTTTTCCTACCTCGTGAACAGGAATTTGTCGTTTTAATGTTTCTAATGTCTTTAAATGTATAATAAAACAATTATTGGATTCGGCTTTCGCATGATATCAAGAATTATTCAGACCTCGGTCTATGTTATCCGCCTCAGCTTCGCTTCGGCAGATAACATTGACCTCGGTCTGAATAATTCTTGATATCATGCTCAGCCTCATCCAATAATTGCTTATTATCGTTCCTCTTTTCATCGTCAATTGTATGTCTGCTGTCTATCAAGCTCAAGTAAATGCGCCTGGTTTATTCTCGAGTTTATGCTGTGCATGTTCGTCCATATTTGAGCGTTATGTCCACGAGTTTAAACATTGGAAAAAACACATTGGGATAACCCCCCTTGTGGAGACAACTATGAGGAATGCAAATGCCCAGATTGCAAACAATACCGCGTGGCGATAAGGGAGTCTAACAACTTAGCATACAAGCTCACGTCGCTACATTATATAGAGACACTTACAGAGTCTACTCCACAATGGTGTCTGCAGATTTACATCATGTTACGTAATTGGGATTTTCCATGGTTAACCATGCTCTCAGCCGTGATTTCCCTGCTTTCTTTAGCATGGAGTGTCACCGCTCATGAGAGAGCGATAGTAAATAAACATAGTAATTTTACACTACCAGCCATGGTTGTATTTTTCACTTCTCGAATGTTTAGTTTCCTATCCAGATTGTTTGCAATTATAGTATTCGCATACGTCTTTAAGGAACAGGTGTTGACAGCACTGGCGGTTCATTGGCTGATATGTACTGTCTTAGTATTCTGGTTTAGAGATGTAAAGCCTGATGAATTGCCATGTCAACCTGTAGGATATTTTCTTGATTGTATTATTTGGAGCATTATAATTGCAATACACCTGCCATATCGGGGAATGAAAACCACATTAAAACTGAGTGAATCAACTGTCCATTTTGTGTTCTACAGTCTATTATCCATAGAGAACGTTTTGCTCGCAATCTTGTTGGTGACAATACCAACACCTGATGTGAAACATATGAGTGTACTGAGACCAATTGTGCTGTCGTTGGTCATAATAGGCGTGGTCCTTGGTTCCATTTTTCAGTTAGTATATAACAAGCTTTTCTTCATACCGACACCTGCAGAACCAGACGAAGAACGGCCATGAACCAGACCGACACCATGAACCAGACGAAGAAGAACTACATGTATTAGACAAACAAGAAAACGTGTAATACAACATACTACCAAGTGAACGATATCTGGAGAAAAAACCCACTTTTGAACATCTCTGCATGCAGAAATTCATATGTTGCTATGAGAATTAACAATGCTGTAGTACAACTAATACTACAATACCAATACCATGCAATAGTAACAATATACATGAAGAATTTACTTAATTCTGATTAAGAGTCCTGCAATTTTACTGAGAAGCAGTATCACGTGGGAATTGGTTTAGATTTTGTCAGTTGAAAACTTGTATGAAATTGTTGTGTCATTCCAATGAATGAGTAAATCATTTATATCTCATGTGGTTCACGCATACACTTGACCACAATTTGTTTCTGCATAATTTATTCATGTATATTATGAATCATAATAGTGTGGTTTCTCGTGGAATTTGGCGAAAAAAAAACAATTGTAAGTTTTTCAAAGGCTACTGTCGTTCTTCGTCGGGACTTGTAGAATTTTGGTTTTTTAAAATTATATAGAATTGTAGATCGTTAGTTAACCGGTAATAGCGACCTTAAGCATCGAGAACATTGCCGTCCGGGACGTTGACCGGAAATTATTTTTCTCTAATAGGCGTGACGTAATACCATCAGGACGCAGTCAAGGTTTTGTCCAGGACGTGGGTTTGCATTGTATTGAGATCTGGAGAAAACGCAAACAAAACTATGGCTTTTACCAGGAAAGCTCGGTCATTAAACAACGTCCCGGACGGCAATGTTCTCGATTGCATAAGGTCACTAATTGCTAACGCAGCGAGCGAGCCTGAAGCGAGCGAGCAAGTCAGCAGTTCTAATTCGTATTGGGCTCTGAAAGTAAGATTTTACTTCCGTTTCTCCGACCAGAATGCACTGCTGTTAACCGATCAGAATGCATTGCTGTTAGCCGACCAGAATGTTTTGCATGCATGATGCTATAAATACGGGGAATCTCATTAGTCAGTTTATATAAGCCGGTAACGATGCAGTTCTTTTGGCGTATTTTGTATTTCATTGTATGCCTGGTCTGTTGATTTCTGGCTGGTCTTACACTATATATACTGAATTTGTTTATTACAAACAATTTATAACGCTTCGAAAGCGAATTTATGCGTTTGTGCTCTTCGCCTTATTTTCTTTTGTCTTTTCTTATTTCATGTAGCACTTAGCAGTAAAATCAACATTGTATTTGCACGTCTGAAAGCGTTCATTCCAATCATTAAAAGCGAATCAATTATTAGCCATCAGTTTCAATTCGCTATAATTTAAACAGGGTTTAGGTTTTAGACCTTTTGTTTGAATATGATTTGACAATAAGGTAATTGACACGGAGACATGGCATGAACAGTCCGGCAACTGCCAACTATGTTTATAGCATGGCGTTTTAAAAGAACGATGCTTTGCGTGCTATTTCATGGGTTAATTAAATGTACTTTGGCTGCCAAAAAGCACACTGCACTATACTCAGTGCATGCATACACAACATAATTTAATTTATGCATGGGCATTGTTTAAGCATGCAACGCAGCCAGCCAGGGGCAAGTCAGTAGGATCCACTGAGCTATACTACAGGGTGTATAAAAAAAAGCGCAACCTCGGAATTTCCCAAGAAATCGACATTGTTTTAAAGACAGTTGTTGTCAATAGCCCGTCGACATACCGCAGGTGTAAGTAGGTATATGTGAACCAGGCTTTTATGTTTACTAGCCATTTAAAAGTCCGTGCTTTATCATATAAAACATTCGAGCTGCGCTCATGCACGTGTTTTGTATCTGACAAAGCACTCCTGCTAGCGTTTTAAATAGTACATACCACACAGTCAGCACTCACTGTAGTTCACTGTACAGTTGTGGTCTTGTGATAGTTTGAAGTATATGTGTGGTCTTTAATAGTGATACAGTGTTTCGTTGTTGTGTAATTATAAGCAATAAGCATTGAATAATCTGTGTGCTTTTAAAATAATTATTGGCTGATATTGTGGTCAATAGTGAAAAAGTTCCAAAAATGGGTGCAAGTTTCCATACCAGGGCATTTTTTAACTATATAACTGGGGGGGCCAAAGCCCCCCCAGCCCCCATGGTGGCCCCCCCACTCAACCATTTTGGCCCCCCCCCCAGTCAAAGTCCCTTTTCTCTAAAATATAAGCAAAACATGGAATTTAGAAGGGAGGTTTGATATTCTAGTAACTGAAATTTGCTTTGTGAATCTTATGTCCTGTCTTTTATGTTTAATACAGGCCTAGAAAATGTATTTCTCTTCCTGGCAGCAAAATTGAAAAATAAAAATTTCCTAGTGTAGGTCAACGTACGGCGCCGCACATTGTGATAAACTTCAGTATCGGCACAAGACGCTTTTGTAAACAATAAGTAAATTATATGCATGGCATGCAGTCCAGTATATAAGATGACAAAAATTTCCTGCAAGGTAAGAAAATTTCCTGCGAAGATATTTTGGTAAAAATTTCCTGGCAGCGGTGCTGCTGGCGCTGCCGGACATTTTCCAGCACTGGTTTAATAAATACCTTATTAGATTTTAAACATTTCCCAGGCAGTGGATTGCATTTCCCAGACCCTATAGAGTTTGAGTTGTTGGACAAGTTAGTGACCGCAGGGGGCAACAGGCCCTCAACCGAGTGTTTTATAAGGGGGGGGGGGAGGATAATTTTGGCCCCCACCAAAAAAAAACAATTTGATTTCAAAACTAGAAGTATTTGAAGTCATATATACATATAATCAAATATCTGTAATCGATATTTTGATAACATTTCTCGTAATAATTTATCCTGACTCGCGGATATCATAGACTCACAAATCATAATGAACGAATTAATGAAAGGGCCAAACAAAAGACGTATAGAAGACTTTGAAAATGCCATTTCCGATGATTTAGAGACGCAAAACTTTTCCGCTCTGTGCCAACCATGGTGGTGCTTCGTGGGAGTCGGGAACTCTAAGTTTATCAGGCTGGCTCCCTAAGTGACGGCCAAGTTGTGGTATCTACATAAACATACTATGCAAGTACTGTACTTAACTGAAGGTTCAGTCTATCTACAGCATAATGTAATGCTGTATATCCAAAAATCTGTTTCAGAAAATGCAGGGAATTGCAGTCATAGGGGTAGAAAAATACAAAAATTTTCTGGGGGAGAAAACCGCAGACCCTCTCCAGGGCCGTAGCAAACGCCGGGGGGGGGGAGGGTCCGGGGGATGCAGCCCCCCAATAATTTGCTAATAATCATTCATTTTTCAAAATCATGCAGACCTTTATTATTTAATCCATGACAAACTGCAAAGAATGAAGATATTACCCATACTTTCCTGCAACTTATCCAATATATCGTTAATTAAATACACCTTCGTCCATTTAGTACTACTGAATTCTAAATTTCCACATACTAAAAACGCTGTTTTCTGACAATCAGAAATCTGTCAAATCTTCCCCAAAGTCCAGGAAATGGCATTTCAGAGACTCTAAATTTAAAAATTTCCTCGGGCCTTCGGCCCTCGCTTTCACCCCCTCACCCCCAAACGAAAAGAGCTTCCTACGGCCTGCTCTCCCCCCCTACTATTAAATGCGATACCACACCAAACGTTTTGTTACCAACAAACCATCTATCATTGCTCCACACTCGGTATAGTATGGTCCCTTTTTGTAGATGGCCCCCCCACTTACGAATTCTTAAAAAATGCCCTGCTGATGTCACAGATATTAGAGTAACGGTAGGATAGAAAGATTAAAAAAAGTTTATGGCTAGATTCTCATGTTTCGCGCACAATAAAGCTAGGGTTAGGGATGGGTTGTGATTACGGTCAAGATCAAAGTATATATTTGTGACCGAAACAAGGATTTATTCATATTTACAATAATGACGTCACAAAGATTAAGTTGGTGTTGAGCTTACTGTCAGTTACGATGGGTTAGGACTTCACGAGGTGGTATTTAAACTGGGGTGCGTTGTTAATTTGAAAAGATGAGACCGTTTTTTATATATCGTCAAATTAAGGAACAAGTCAGCATTTATACTACTGATAAGTATACTAGTTTACAAATATAGCTGTCAATATAACTATATAATAGCCTATAACAAATACATAATTCTGGAATTTTCTATTCCTAAATCAGGCTTTTTGCGAGGATGTGCGGTGTTTAGATTCTATTACACAATTATAAAAAGGTTCGAACATGCTTGATTTCTTACACATTCCAAGCTAATCATCTAAAAAAGTTGACACGAGCGTGATTAGCCTCGGGTCCAATGCTCCATAATTATTGAGCTATCGTACCAAGTTCCAACAGAGTTTGGTATTTTGTTTTATCCATTTTAAAATCACGGAATATTTTTGTGACTACTTCAACAAACACTATCAATCCACATTTATCTGTAGTTCCGCCAGGAAGTTTCTTTTTGTCGGGGAGGCAACTTAATAATTTGTGAGTCACAATTCTAGGCATGCTCCCCCGGAAAAAGGTTGAATTTTGGGTCTCTGAAACGGCATTTCCTGCATTGTGGAGGCACTTAGAGAGATATGTAAAGATCTTAATAAATCAGCTTGCAATAGTGTCAAATGATTTCAGAATACTTAGTATATTGTTTGCGTGGTCACCGCGCGTGGTTTACGCGAATCATATCGACCGGGCTGATATGATCAAATCACCCGCTACGGCAAATACGATGACGTAAGGCGTGATCTTCTGAATGACGACAGATCTTATATAATCTTAAGAAACACGCACTGTATGACAAAATAAGCTCAATATGTTTATTTTAGACTTTTGCCCACTATAGCGCTTGATACAAAATGGTAATAGCTCAAAAATATTTTGAGAACCATATAGGCCATATAAAATAAATTCCTTGATTCTCATCGCTAAATTTTAAAAACTCCCAGGAGGCGGGAGGTTTATATTTTATATTTTATATTTTATGTCAAAATATAAAAAAAAAGTTTAAAATTTAAAAAATTGGAGAGGGAGGTCTTTTTAAGGAAATATATTATAGAAGAACGCTATATAAGTGGATAATTGCACATGCGCTAATGAACATGCATAAGGTCCACACAAATCGTTGTAATAAGGCTATAAGCCCATTTTTTCCTTCAGTATTCCAAGCATCCCTTAACATGTTGCAATATTAACGATAAAACAATTTTATATCGCAAAAATTCCTATATAAAATATAAAAATAACTAAATCTCTGAAGATGCTCGGTCGGGCGGTAAATTTATATTTTATAACAAAATACAAAAATATATCAACGCGGAAACCAAAATATCGTCGGGCGGTGATGAGAATCAAGGAATTTATTTTATATGGCCATAGTTGTAGGACGCTATTTTCAAGAGAAACATTGAACACGGCACCGCGCAACTAGTTAGCAGAGAGTGTTCTTGCGAATAAATCTCGATCTTCAAAGGTACGTGTAATTGCTTACTGCAGAAAGGGAAACGACAAAACGCGGACCCCTGGTCCATGGACTACCTTCGTGGACCTGGTCCGTGGACCACTCTCGTGGACCACTCTCGTGGACCACTTGCAAGACACCAGATTTTGGGGGTTTTAATTCTTGACTGTGCATGCAAAAATGTGCTCGAGTCGAGTTCAGTCATTATTATCATTGTGGAAACTTTACACAAAATGTGAAGTTCTAAATCCATTCACTACATGACCGTTCTAAAATATAAGTGTGCAATTACGACTTTAATGCAAAGTTTCCGAATATATGCCCTTAAAATTGGTATTTTTTTTCTCGATCGCTACAGGAAATGCAAGAAAAGCAGTAATCGAGCTTCAAAAATTAATATTTTTGGGAGAGGACCTTCAGGCATTGAAAGGTCATTGCAACTTACGACTTCTACAGTTGAAGTGATTTTTAACAGTAAAATTCGAATAATTCAGTAAAATCCTTTGACCCCCCCTCCCCTCCCCTCCAGATTCTCCACAGTATTCCTATATTTTTTAATGGACCATGACTACATTTTTTTCAGCATTTTTACAGACTTAGTATTCACTGTTCATCAACAAAAACTGAATTGATTGTGAAATAAATAATGGAAATGAATAATGAAATAGTTCCCGCCAATCTTGGCTCCCTAAACTCGGAATAATAGTGCTTGGTCTATTGTTCGGTAGGCAAAATTTCGCAAGTGGTCCACGAGAGTGGTCCACGGGAGTGGTCCGTGGTCTACGAGTGTAGTCCATGGACCAGGTCCACGAAGGTAGTCCATGGACCTGGGGTCCGCGTTTTGTCGTTTCCCCTGCAGAAAAAGATAACTAGTCAGTTTCTATTACTGTATATACATATATTCGCTAAGTATTTTAGTAAGAGGGCGTACACTTAATTGTATGTATTAGATGCGATGTAAGAACGGCAGTGATTCAAAAGAAATAAGTCAATTTTTAAACTATGAATTTACAAGATGGCTAATCTAATACTAACAAATTTCAACAATTTTTACTTCGACTTTGACCAAGGGTCAGCATTTCTTCTGAAGTTGACGGTTAGTAAAGTTAAATAATGTTAGGAAACTCGACGCACACATCATAGACCTCATTATCTATGTTTTTGTCTTGGTTTATTATGCAAGAAATACTAATGGTCGGTTCATCGTCACATGCGTATTGTTTTATCGCCCAACCAACCAATAGCTATGTTTTCAATAGAATAGAATAAAATAGAAACTTTATTTCACGAGGGAAAACGTATTAACCATAAAAGTTATCTAACATACGGCTCTCGCATATTTTGATATTTACAGGCATAAAAAGTACTAAAGGTTACGACTATTTACATATGAGAAAAAAATAATTAGTAATGAATACAATTAAAATTTAGTAAATATTTACAATTTATCCAAAATAGATCTTCGATATGGTTAGTAAGGTTAAGCTTGTTAAGAAAGATGTTACGAATTTTTTGTTTGGCGTTAGTATATGAAGAGCAAGATGGCGAAACAGCAAGTTGCTTACAATCATTTATCTCTCGAATGTGTAATACCAAGGCTGGGTAATTAAACCAACACACTACTACAGAGCGTTTGCACGTGACGTCACAGCCGCCATGTTGGTTTTCCAATTCAAAAGAATTTTAATTAGACTCTCTTGTCTGGAACACCAACATGGCCGCCATGGCTTTTGGTGAGTTGGTCCTCGGGGAATGAGTGCAAACGCTCTATTGGTTGCATGTTGGTTATTTAATTCTGGATTAATCCTAACTGTCTATTCTTGAAGTGGATTTAATTATGATAGCAAATTTCGGACAAGGCGATTTTTAACTAGTTACTATATGCAATACTTCATGTTATAGACAGTTAGAGATTCATTTTACGTTCTTGTTAACATCGACAGGCGTTTTTGTATAACTCATGATGAAAATTCAAAACAAATCAATGTTTAATATATCCACATATACAAAATTATTCTGATTTGCATAATCTTTTTATCATGTCGCCGCTGTCTGTGTCCGTATTTTTGTCCCGACCCTTATACATACAATATTAGAAATGGTAATCACTCGATTCTTCACAGAAACACAGTGTGATACCATTTTCATGAGAAATATTGAAAACAAAACTGCGTAGCATTAAATCGTGTGTGCATACAGAGTATAATTGCGACGAAATTAAAGACTTCAGAAGTTTCAGCAGAAATATGGTAACTTATCATTTTATATATCATATTACATATATGTATATACGTTTGGCTAAACTATACTAAGCTGTAATACAACGCTTCAGAAAACAGCAGATCCAACTCTCAAATAGTCTCCCGTGGATTTGTCGATATACTATTTCTATCGTTCTAACTCTGTTTTCTTTACTCCCCGTCAGTAAAGATCTCCAGATTACCAATTCCGAAGGCAGTCGTACGCTGGACTATTGATTTTCTATTGGACAGAAAACAAAGAGTTAAACTCGCAACCGACTGCGTTTCAGAGTGGGGTGCTGTCCCGGCTGGTGTCCCTCAAGGCACGAAACTTGGGCCATGGCTTTTTCTATGGATGATCAATGATCTTAAAATCACTGAAGTATCTACTTGGAAGTATGTCGATGATACAACCGTTTCTGAGGTTGTTAAAAAAGGCGATACCAGCAAAGCCCAAGACGCAGTTACCACAGTAGAAAACTGGTCGAATTCCAACAGATTACTTCTTAATGCAGATAAATGTAAAGAACTCCAAATCGACTTTAAATCCACGAAACAGAACTTCGACCCTCTTACAGTCTACGGGAAGAAATTGCCGGTTGTCCAAACATGAGTCGGTTTACCAACTTAGGAACAATAGACTGTTTGAACGATTCGAAACTAATACAGAAAGATTTAAAAAAACTTTTATTCCTATGTCTGGTAACTTAAGTTAATGTAATTTTTAGTACTAAGCGTTTTAATGACCATTTGTAAATATGCCTAATTAACCCATATTCTATCTTTTAAATAATGTTTTATATACTCTTGTAAATCACACAATTCAGCTGTCCAGCTGCAAGGTGAATTTTAAATACACTATCTATCTATCTATCTATCTATCTCAACACGAAATGCTTGGCTTCGCGTGAGCCCTGACCGAAATGTACCTGGTTTTCGTGAAATCTGTAATGACCATATCGATTAGTCAGAAATGTCGCCACACAACTGGTATATAATTAAATTGTACTTTATCATTATTCATACATTTCTGTTACACAATACAAACTAATTATGCGTTGTATTAAAATTTAAGGCTGATTTATATACCACACAACTTTTGCCTAAAATTGTCGCATGCAGCCTGCTTACAACTTGAATTGATAACTGCTGTCATTGTGAGGTCGAATGTGTTAGAGCTATATTTTACCCTATATTTTACCCTTGCCGCCATCACATTGTCTACCGTATGGCTGCAGCAATTGTGTAGCGAGATGCTTTCCAGACAAGACATTCCTGACTACAGAAACAGATTTACAGCTACTCATAGAAATTTGCGTAAACGCATTTTCTTAAGTGCCTAAACGATTTGGTTCTAGTATATCTATGTGATTATTTTGTGAGGAACCGTAGTTGTTTCTGGGCCAATATGAGCGTGATATTGATATTGTAATCATACTTTGAATTTTAAACGTAAATAATGTAGATAATATTTTAATTTAATGTAATGATACAGTACCGCTCAGAATTAACCTAACAAAAACCGCGGTTAAACCTCGGCGGTTAAACCTCGGTTCGACCGAGGTGTAACTGCGGTGATTTTAAGGTTCGACCGAGGTTAGACCGCGGTAATTTTGAGGTTAAACTGCGGTGACCATGAGGTTTGACCGCGGTTTGACCGCAACCGAACCGAACCGATCCGGAAGCTTCGTATGTACTCGTAATAGCATTCGTAAATATTCGTGCATTTCCGAAGAGGTCATTATGATCTGAAAACGTCCGTCTGTGCTTTATAAACATTGATATATTTTATAAACATTGAGGCACGGGGAGGCTGTCGCTTTATGCCAGGGAGCGAATTGTCTCCTTACTTTCGACAAATACTTCAGTCGTTGCAATAACTAAGAGTTTAAGCGAAGAAGGCATAAAGACGTCGCGATTCGCTGTAACGTAGCGGACGAAAGCTTAATTTAAGTTGGCGGACGAGCAGCTAACATTCATCGACCAAAAATGAGGGAAAACCACGAGCTAACTGCGCCGAAAAGAGAAACACAGAGTGTGAGCACAGAAATATATTGTAAACCGACCTTAAGCATAATAATTAATATTATTTAAAAATTTTAAAATTTGCACAAAAGATCAGTTCTCGTATGATTTTTTCTTCAATTTTAAAAAAATTTATGGAACGTTTCTTAGATTATTCCCTTCAATAAAATTTTAAGAAAAAAAGATATTGAGCTTGTTTAGCCGATATTAAGAAATGTGCAAAGTTTTAAAACAATTTACCGAAGGAAAAAGGTGAAATTTAGGTTTAATTTTGGCATTTTTTGCGAGATGTGACGTGAACCCTCCACCCCCCACAAATTTTGATATTTTCAGGTAAAATTTGCGTAATAATGTAATTATTTGTGTGAAATGATAACCATTTTTGTAAAATATACAGTCAATTTACATCCAATTTGTTTGCGAATTTGCTTTAGCAAACGCCAGAATTGCAGTCCTAGAGCTTCAAAAATGGAACAATTTTTTTGGGAGGAGGACCCCCAAACCCCCGTTTTCTCCCGAAACTTAGTATGACAGTGCAAGTGATTATCACAAGAAGCTTTATTATAATTATTACACTTTAGGTAAAATCCTCTGTCAATCCCCCCCCCCCTCAACTTCAGATGCTTTGCTATGTTCCTGTAGACTGACGTGTACAATAGTCGAAAAACTAAAGAAAATTTCCCGAAAGGATTTTTAAAATGGCCGAAAATTTTGAGCCTTATCCTAAGCACGCTGTTTCCATGGTAACAGACTTTCTGCGCAAAAGTAGCACATTGCAATATTCAGGAGAGCATTGTCAATGTGTCCAATAAATTTCGTCTTCGTGTCATGTAAAGTGAAGGAGCAGGAGTTTTCTGAATGCAAAAGTGTAGTATAATGCAAAAACCCTGTGGAGCCACCTTAAAATAGTTTTTTATTATTATTTTATGACTTTTAAACACAGAAATCACTCGTGGCCATTCGTGGTCACTCGTGGTCACTCGTGGTCATTCGTGGTCACTCGTGGTCACTCGTGGTCATTCGTGGTCACTCGTGGTCACTCGTGTGTACTTTTAGACAAGATCGATTGTAATATGCATGTGCATGTTGTTTCGGCTTAAATTAAAGGATCTTAAGCTTGCCTCATCAATATATACAAGTGTTTACAAACAAAATACTCGTTGTCAAAGTAAGGCTCAAAAACGCCTACCCAAATTTTGAACAAAAATCATCAGACAGCAATAAAATAGTCCTAAAATAGGTCTCTTTTTGTTTATTAGAGTTTAAATAGATGTTTTAGAATAAGTAAGATCCCAGGGCGATTGCTAGATAATATACTTCAAAATAAGGTTTCCGTTTTTATAACGTAGAAAAAAACTATCCTAACGCAAAACTAAACCCTAATACTAACCCTAACCCCGACCTAACCCTAACCTACACTTTAACATAACCCTAACTTATTTTAAAAATTGATTTATAAACGGAAACCTTATTTTGAAGTATACTATCTAGCAATTGCCATTATCCCAGAGCCTCACGTTCCTTCCCGAGGATCGCAGGCTCGGGGAACGAGATTGCGGCGTGACGTCATACCGGGAACTCATCAAAACAAAATACATATGATTTACTTAGCCTCCTCCTCAGGCATCTCGTAGCTGACGTACTATAGAAAGTTGAGCCGTTCTGCGCAGCGATTTCGTCTCTAGGGTATGCACGTGGGGAGGATTTGTCATCCAAGATGAACTTAGTGCATTTATATTGATACGGTCGCTAAAGGCGTCTAAACGATTAAGAATTCAGACTTTTTGGACAATTGAAAAAATCTCAACCTGGAAATTAAAATTGTTATCAAATAATTTACATGTTGTCAGTTGACATCAAGGTTGACATATATTTTTTGTAAAAACTGCATCGTAGATGGAAATAGAAATCTTGTGCCTCGTTTGACCACCAACTTGCGTTGACTTGCGAATGATTTGACCTGGTTCAAACCTCATCGCAAGCTTTGTTAAACTTGCGAGCACTTACGATACGTTTGATCAGGAAGTGCAAGTGTTTTGAGACCAGTTTCCTTGGAAACCAAAGGAAATCATAGTCCCTAGTCCCCTGCTGTGCACGCGTTATATATAATTCTGTACGTAAAAAAAAACGCGGGAAATTTTGAAAACGTTGTCCAAAATCACAAAATGGCCTCAAAAAACACCGAAAATATCAACGAAAATGTTCCCAATGAAAACATCAAAGGAAAAGGGAAAAGGACCAACTCAGAAATTGAAAAATTAATTGAGGAGTATGAAGAAAAAACCTGTCTTTGGGACGTCTTCTCAGAAGACTACCACAACATCGAAAAAACCTCAAAAGCCAAGCAGGAATTGTCGGTACGTAAAAAAAAGCTGAATGTATTTACAATAGTTTATCTATCACATTATATTCATTATTTATCCCATCTTGCATAGGAAGCTCTCGGCGTATCATGGAAAAATATCCAGTCGCAAATGACATGTTTGAGAGCCACTTTGGGTCAAAACTTGAAGAAAAAACCCCATTAATTGGAAATCAGGGCAAGGGACAGATGAGCACTTTACACTGAAATGGATGTTTTGGGAACAGCTTCAATTCCTCATACCTACCATGGAAGCAAGGCAAAGTCGGGATACTTTAAAGGTTGATAATGACAGTAATCAGAACAACTTTGCAGAACCAGTTGCACTAGTGCAATAAACCGAAAACGCCAAATAGAGAAAACAAGAGAGGAGCTATACAAAGAATGCATAAAAATCATGAAGGAATCTCCTGAAAAAGAAACCGGTAGTTCATTTGGGATGTACGTCAATGAAAAGTTGTCTCATATTGACAGAAGACAACGAAGCATTGCTGAAAAGAAGATAATGGATGTTTTATATGAGGTTGAAATGGGAGGAACAGATGGAGTTAATACAAATACTGTCAGTTACATCCCACAATCATTTCATTCCCAGGGATTTCCTAATACATGGCCCTATTATTATTAGTTATATAGGTTAATTTGGAAATCCATATAGAACCATATCACCCCATTACTTAATTTTGTATAAAATTCGGTAATTTTGAGTTTTCTTGTTTCCTTTGAAATTTTCTTATTATTTCAAAAGAAAATTATTTCTTATTTTACGAAAATGCTAACTTATTTCAAGAAAATATTTTCTTGTTTTAAGAATTTTTTTCTTACAATAAGTACATTATATTTTCTTAAGAAAATGATTTTTTGCTGTGTATAGCTCAGCTATGCCTTTTCACGCTTGCAAGATCCGGCGCAGACGTTGAGATTTTTTCCTGGAGAAGTGAAAAACAACACGATAGATATTTTCCCCAACGCCTCGAGAGGTTAAATCCCCACGAATACTATCCGCATACGAGAGAAACACGTTGAGCTGGCCGCCACGCGGAAGGTGGTTAGCTTAAGGCAATTTTCCATTGCAGTCGCTTTGCCCGCGCGGACGGAGCGGGCTTTGGAAATCTGCTCACGCGGGCGTGACGTGTTTTCGCAGCCAAAACAGAAACATTGGTTTTTCCAGAAAAATTTTAATAATCTAAAGGCTAATTTCCACTCAGGAAAATTATCCGTGGATTGGAACGGATAAGAATTTTTTTTTTGTGTTAAAGTCATTAGTTCCAACCCAAAGGTCCAAGACAAAGAAAAATTTTCTTGTCCGTTCCAATCCACGGATAATTTTCCTGAGTGGAAACTAGCGTTCAGTGTCATGTCTTAATAATTGGAATAAACAAATCTGGAACAAAACTCTTTCATATTCCTCTGGGACATCCTATATAAGAATGCAGATCAAGAGTTTTGTGAAATAACTAAAGTGCATGCTTGGTGGTTTTACAAAACAAATATAAAACAAAACAAACCAATTATATTCATTTTCACCATGCGAACATGGTACAAATACCAGTCAATACTTAACTAATTAAAAGACACTGAACTTTGCAACAAATCAGCTTTATTACTTAAACAAAGAAACGATTTTACACCAATGAATTAAACTAGATTTAATCCCAATCTCAGAAATCGTAATTGTTTGATTAGCTGCATCTGTGTGCTGTTTTAGATTAAGTATGTAAAATCAATATCTGACTGAAAGGCTTTCAGTGAATTGTGTATAACCATGTATAATAAGTACATTTATAAGTAATAATAATTAAGAAGCAACAATATCATACTATAAACAAGCGTAATATAGAATCATACGAAAAGCGTAATATAGAATCATACGAAAATCACAAAAAAAGTTTTATCGAAAGTTTAAAAAAAAAATCAACGGAAAGTTGTAATAATCACACGATTTCACGTAAGTCATAGCACGTTTCAACTACATGTGAAGTGTAGGATATTCACGTTCAGCTGTCTCAGCTGTATACTAGAAATAAACCACATTAAGCGTATTCGCATGTGCTGTTTTATATTAAATATGTGAAATCAATATCGGAAAGACTTTCAGTGAATTATGTCTAACCATGCATAATAAGTAAATTTATAAAAGTAATATATAGGAAGCAATAAGATCATATTAAACAAGCCAAAAGATTAATAGGAAACATATCTGAAAACCACAAAAAATCTTTTATCGAAATTTTCAAAAAAAATCAACGGAAAGTATAAGTACTTAAGTTAATATAACCGAATAACTTAAGTCCTTTGTATGTTTGCATGGCGATAAAATATAATAGTTTCGTTTGTGGAAACACCACGTAAATTTATTACTGCATGCAAAGTTTTCGATCCGTAAGCCCGGATCTTCATCCGTGCAAATAATAAAGCTTTGCAGTAATAAATTTACGTGGTGTTTCCACAAACAAAACTATTAACAATAACTTGTCATAATCAAGCGACTGCACACAAGTCATAGCACCTTTCAACTCCTGCATATGAGGTGTAAGATATTCATGTTGAGTTGTATGTTAGAAATAAACCACATTATCAATGCTTTTCGCATGACATTATCTGTATTTCACATTCCATCTATTTTGAACGAATTTATATCACTCCATCTTTTCCATATGCCTCACAGTTTAAAACATGCCTGGATGACTTGCATGTCGTTTGATCAGGGCGTGAGACAAGATTACAAACTCGATTATATATCTGTGCCAGCGTAAGTATATAGTAACTAAAACACCTGGGAAATACAGATGGATTCAACTACCTAAAAAATACAAGTAAAACTTCGACGTGTCGAGCGAAAGCCCTTCGTCGGAAAGTTAGCAGCATGAAGTTTTTAGCATACTATTAACTTGAAGTGTAATATTAGCATACTACTAACTTGAAGTGTAATATTAACATACTACTAACTTGAAGTTTAATATTAGCATACTACTAACTTGAAGTTTAATATTAGCATACTACTAACTTGAAGTTTAATATTAGCATACTACTAACTTGAAGTTTAATATTAGCATACTACTAACTTGAAGTTTAATATTAGCATACTACTAACTTGAAGTTTAATATTAGCATACTACTAACTTGAAGTTTAATATTAGCATACTACAAACTTGAAGTTTAATATTAGCATACTACTAACTTGAAGTTTAATATTAGCATACTACTAACTTGAAGTTTAATATTAGCATACTACAAACTTGAAGTTTAATATCAGCATACTACTAACTTGAAGTTTAATATCAGCATACTACTAACTTGAAGTTTAATATTAGCATAATACTAACTTGAAGTTTAATATTAGCATACTACTAACTTGAAGTTTAATATTAGCATACTATACTAACTTGAAGTTTAATATTAGCATAATACTAACTTGGAGTTTAATATTACCATACTACTAACTTGAAGTTTAATATTAGCATACTACTAACTTGAAGTTTAATATTAGCATACTTCTAACTTGAAGTTGAATATTAGCATACTACTAACTTGAAGTTTAATATTAGCATACTACTAACTTGAAGTTTAATATTAGCATAGTACTAACTTCTCGACGAAGATCCTTTGCTCGAAACGTCGAAGTTTTACTGATATTTTTCAGGTAGTTGAATCAATATTCATCTGCATTCATATCAGATCATATTTAATTTTCGTGGACTAAGCTAAGTGCTTTTACAACGAAATTTTTGATATCATTTTTTATGATTGAATTGTAGAGAAAATTCAAAATGACTATAGTGAAATACTTTGCCAAACTATCTTGGCTTGTTTCTTTCTTGAGATATTCAAGAATGTTGGATGCGCAAATTCTCCTAACTATGACATCAAATTGCATGAAGGCTTCGTGAATTTTAAATTAAATTATAACTCTTATACGGATAATTGATTCAAATCTGTCGACATATAGTATATATTTGTAGCATGTTGACCAAGCACATATGCAAGGTTTTACGATTTTGATGAACGACATAGCAAGATCTTGCAGTTTTTTAGAAGGGTAGTCGTTATGCAATGTGACGTCACAATGAGGATAATTTGCATATCAAACATAAGCCGGTTTTCCACTATTAAAGGGAAATGGCAATATATATTTTTTATTTTCTCATTTGAAAAAACTTTTGAAACTATTTAGTAACTTCTTTTACCGATTCTTCATATCTTGCTTAGTTCTTGAAAAAATTTCACTTGAAAAAATGAGATGTCAGCCATCTTGGATAAAATTTTGATCTCATTAACGGTAGTTTTGGTGACGTCACAACAGGGATTAACCATATAAAAGTATTCGTTACTGACCAAATATTGATTGGTAGATGTTTTAATTTAAACGTTTCAAGTGATCTTCATATTTCCAAGAGCATACAGAGTATAATTTTGAGTGCAAAATGATTAGTGGTTGTCTAGATAAAAATATTCCGTGACCCCTGTTGTGACGTAACATGCATATCCACAAAAATCCAAGATGGCGGACATTTCATTTCTTTCGATTAAAATATTTCTAGAAGTAAGCAAGATATGAAAAAACGGTAAAAGAGTTTTATATATGGTTTTAAATGTTTTTTCAAACGAGAAAATAAAAAATATATTGCCATTTCCCTTTAAGAAAAGCAATTTCGTGGCACCCACCTGGAGAATAGATTTTCTGTGGTTCAATGCATAGTACCATAGATGCTCAATTACCACAAAGCGAAAAACCTGCCCAATATAGCGAGAAAATGAGTGATTAGTGATTATCCTCTATTAAATTTTATTACAGCAAGAAAACGCGAAAGTTTTCATGTGTTCAATTACAACAAAAATGACTTGTATCATCAGAAAGCTTACAAAAATCTACATATAAGACATTTAAACAGTTTTTTTATATCCCAAATTGTTTTCGAGTTATACGCTGTCAAAATGCGACATTTAGGTTCAATTTTCACATTTAAAACAGCAATAACTCAAAGACTATTTGAAGAATAAAAAACTGTTTAAAAGTCTTATATGCTTTTTTGTACCTTTTCCGCAACCTCGTACCCAGGGCATCTGCGCTTATTGCAGAAGCCCTGGGTACAAGTTGCGTTTTCCGATAATGCAAGTAATTTTTATTGTAATTGAATACAAAATTTCCCATTTTTTTGCTGCAGTAGAATTTAATAGAGGATAATCATTGATCACCCATTTTCTCGGCATTGGGCAAGTTTTTGGTTTGGGAACTTTTTTGGTAGTAATGTAGCTATATATGCTTTTCAAATAAACTACTTCCCACATGGTTGCCACGAAGCGAAATAATTTTGGCCACCGGCCTATATGCGGGATTATGCGCGCAAAGCGGAATTTTTTTTTGCTTTTCTAATTAATTCCACCCGAAAAATCACAAAACGAAGAAAATTTCCGGCTAGTGGAAAACCGGCTTAAGATAGTTTGGGAAAGTGACTTATTCGGTGAATTTGGATTTTCTTTACAATGCAATCATAAAAAAATGATGTAAACTTTCGTTGCATGAGCTGTTTAATTTTGGTTTGAGAAATAAGAATATTTAGTGCACGAATATATATTGAGATAAGTTCTAGACAATATGGAAAACTTCAATTTCCGAGGGTCGAAAGTAGTATGCTCCTGCCAGGATGGTGCGTACGCTGTTGACACCAGATGGAGCTTGGTAGGTGAAATTAAAAGTTGCGAGTGATTTGGTATTCGAAGGCGCATTATTATGTATGTGTATATCGTGACCGTTTCCAAATGTTGGTCCATAATATCTTCCTGGGAAAATTGCGTACTGAGTATTTTGATCTTTCAGTGGGGCTTTAAAAGGTGGGAGATTTTCTTTGTTACGAAGAGAAAATATGAAGGATCCTGGAGCCTGTATTCCATGCCACCCAGTACCTGCATGTTATAACGCAAAAACAATGTTTTGACATATCTAATCAAATTTATATTGAGTATCGGCACAGTGGTGTTGCAGCCGCGGACGAATTTGAAAGTGTTTATGCATATGTTGCATTTAAGCATGCCGCACACGAGAGCATTTTGCTGGGCTAGCCTTCGCGCGTGCCGGTTGGCTCATCTCTATATGTTTGTCGCAATCGTAAAGTAAAGTGCAAAGCTAATATTTTATGTCGCTCTAAATTTCAAAATAGCTGAAATATCACGTACCTGCACCTGCACGTGAGAAAGATATGTACTTTTATTGGCTACTACATATTCACAGCTGAGCTTATAACTGACGCACGCCGTCCGGCGTCCGCGCACGGTTCGATCTTGCCTCGCATGGACCAAATAATCTAACACGATAGAATTTTTCCTCGCGGTCTCGCGCGTAAAATTCCGCAGCAAAAAGCGTGTATTGCTATGCGTATTGTATTGTATTGTATTGTATTGTATTGTATTGTATTGTATTGTATTGTATTGTATTGTATTGTATTGTATTGTATTGTATTGTATTGTATTGTATTGTATTGTATTGTATTGTATTGTATTGTATTGTATTGTATTGTATTGTATTGTATTGTATTGTATTGTATTGTATTGTATTGTATTGTATTGTATTGTATTGTATTGTATTGTATTGTATTGTATTGGTATTGTATTGTATTGTATTGTATTGTATTATATTGTATTGTATTGTATTGTATTGTATTGTATTGTATTGTATTGTATTGTATTGTATTGTATTGTATTGTATTGTATTGTATTGTATTGTATTGTATTGTATTGTATTGTATTGTATTTAATTATATTTATACACGGTAACCTATCAATTGATATTGATTTTCATAGGGCCGTGTATTATTTACAAGTAAGAGAATAGAATTATAATATTCAGTTACAATTAATCGTTTTGATGCTGATTAGGTTCAATCTGAGCTTATCTTGATTGTCAATTCTGTTTTTGAATAGATGGAGGGTTAGTGTCGTACCTTACTATATGTGACTACTCACCCTCCAGCTATTCAAAAACAACATTAACACTCAAGAAAAGCTCAGATTGAACCTCCACTAGCCTCATTGAGTGTGAGTGAGCTTTTAGCATACGGGCGTTAGTCCCCATATAACTAAAACTTCTCTTCATAGAGTTCGTATTTGGTTTTGACAATCTTAGAATTTGCCATTACTTAAATTATAATTAAAATTGATGCGCTTTTCAAAAAGGCTACCTATTATCTTCGGATCATCATTATCATTCATAACATTACTCGTACATTTTTTCATGAGATTTTGTCACCTTTCATCCAGTGTTTTGGAGCCTAACTAGTAACTTAAGTGTATTAAATATTTGTTTTGAATGAATGAATGAATGAATGAATGAATGAATGAATGAATGAATGAATGAATGAATGAATGAATGAATGAATGAATGATCAGATAGAATGAATGAATGAATGAATGAATGAATGAAAGAAAAACTTTATTTTACGAGGGTAGCACATAATAGTGAATTCACACTAACAAACCTGTGGCCCTCAGATACAATAAAATATTACAATAATACATACTAGATTAACTAAACAATATATACATCAAAAAGATTTCTAAAATACAAAATTAATAGTTTGAAAATATTGTAGTAAAAGTAGTAAAATGTTTATGTTCTTTCTGATATTCTAAAAATATATTAATAATAGACCGGTTAAATGTTTTGGCTGCAGATGCAATGGATCTTATTTTCAGCGGTAAACTGTTCCAAAGTTTACTTGTGCATGTTGAAAACCTTTTACCACCCTCAGTTTGACGATAATATTTCGGCGTTCTAAATAACAGCCCTGCACCACGTGTGGAACGAGAGTGCACTTCGCTATAAAAGCAACGCCACTATAAAAAAATGCATTATTTGACAATTTTAAAGAGAAGGTTGAATATGAAATATCAAATTTATTGGCTAAACTCACCAAGCAAGACGAAACTATCAACATAAATAAGCAAGATATATGCAAATTGCGCGAAGAAAATTTGCATCTCAAATCACGTATCTCCAAATTAGAAGGAAAGATGGCTTCGGCCTTCATAGAAAAATTCCCTGGGCTATTGAAATATCTTGTGTCACACCTACAACGCAGTACGTCCCCATAAGCACTAAGAAAAAGGCCAACGAAGACCGACTACCGGAAAGTAATGTGCCTAATATGCAGTCCAATCCAGAATTTAGTGTACCTACTTATGAAAATTTGACCTTGCAACCGCGAACCCAGCAGACAAATAAGAATCGTTACGACCGCCCCCCAAAGAATTCCACTCCTTGTCCATTTCTTCTGCGTCGAGGTTGGTGTCGAAAGGGAAACCGATGCGACTTTCAGCATCTTAAACCATCTCGCAATACACATAAACATAATGTCCCCTGTCCGTTTTTGCAGAACAGAGGCTTCTGTCTGAAAGACGATCGATGTGATTTCTCCCACGCTTGGGTACCAACCAGAAGGTCGGTATTAAAAACCACTACTAGTAGCCATTTGCCACCTGCCTCTTTTTTATCCCGAGCGCAAGTGCCATTGCCACCAAACGTCCACACAGCTCAACCTCAGCAGCTCCAAACGTACAGCCTACACCCATGGCGACCCCCATCTTATCCAAGGCCGTTAATGGAAATCCCACTACCCACGTCCAGTTTTCCCCGATTATCCTCCCAGATCCACCAAAACAGATTTTACTAAATCCTTCTAAACAGAGCTCCACTCCATGTTTACCTGACAATTGTTCGTGTGACAATGAGACAGTAAGCACAATTCCTGTTATAACCTCGAAACGAATTAATAAGAAATATAATGTGCGATATCGACATGACTCCATCCGGCCAAATAATTTAATTAAAATTCCTATTAAACACTTGCCGGGTTCCCAACATACGTTCGTTCCCTCCCTAATGCTATCTAATGTTATGTCATTGGTGCCCAAAATAGATGAATTACGCGAAGTTATCCTCAATAGTGATGTAGAAATAGCTTGTATTACCAAAACGTGGCTCAGAGATCATATCGATGATAACGTTGTTAATGTGTCAGGATTTAGGTTGGTTCGCCTTGACAGAATTAACAGTCAACACGGGGGAGTCTGTATGTACGTTAGGAATAATATTCAATACAACATTGTACAAGACCTTTTAGACAGCAATTTTGAAATCGTCTGGGTTCATATTCGCCCTACTCGTCTTCCAAGGGGAATTCCATGCATAATTATTGGAACGTTATACCATCCTCCAAGTGCTAACAATCGAGAGATATTAGATCATTTATTAAAATGTCTATCAACAATCGAATCTCGTTTTCCCAATAGTGGTGTCATCCTGCTTGGAGACTTTAACAACTTAAATGTCTCTAGAATTAAACGTAACTTTAGGCTTAAGCAAATTGTGAACTTTCCCACACGTGGCCGGAACACCTTGGACCTCATCCTAACTAATTTGAAAGACTATTATGCTTCCCCCATTAAACTCTCTCCCCTCGGTCTTTCTGATCACGTAACGGTTAAAGTTTTACCGCTCTCCCGAACAACAACATCCAAGTCCAAGTCCAAAACAAGCATCAAAACAAGGGACATTAGACCAACGAAACGTTTAGCAATGAGAACATATTTGGAAGCTGTTGACATTCAAACCTTGATAGATAATAAGATCTCTTGCGAGGAAAAAACTACGATGTTGGAAAAAATCGTTAGCACAGGTATGAATTCCCTTCTTCCAATGAAGAGGAAAACGATCATAGCTAACGAGCCCCCATGGCTCAATGAAAACCTTAAAAAGTTGATACGTGCGCGCCAGGAAGCCTTGTCCTTGGGTGACATGGTTACCTTCCGATTACTTAGGAATCAAGTTAATCGAGAGAGGAAGTCAAGCCGTGCAAAATATTACGATTCAAGAGTTAAACAATTGAAAGAATGTGATCCTTCCGGTTGGTGGAAGGAAATTAAGAAACTTAGTGGGATGTCTGCAGTGTCAAGTGACAGTACAACTTCAATTCTACAACATGTTGTTTGTGACCCAGTCGAACCGACTCCACTTAATATTGCCAATGTTATTAACAACGCATTCCTTGCCTCAATGAGTGACTTTTCTCCATTATCTCCCAACGTCCGTCTTGCCACCGATAAAGAACCCCCATTTACCGTCACAGAGCAATCAGTTTTTCAGAAACTGTTAGCACTAAATCCAACCAAAGCAACTGGGCCAGATGGTATTCCCTGCTGGCTTTTAAAAGAGAACGCCGATATTTTTGCACGACCAGTAATGTCGATTATTAACTGTTCATTCTTGGAGTCTCGCTTACCTCCTTCATGGAAGGAAGCCGATATAGTACCAATACCTAAGCAAAAACCTGTCAATGACGTAAATAAAGATCTAAGACCAATCTCTCTGACTCCAGTACTCTCTAAGGTCGCTGAGGAATACGTAGTTGAATGTTTTGTAAAACCAGCTGTATTGAAAAAAGTTGACCCACAACAGTTCGGTACATTACCTGGCTTGAATACCACCTATGCTCTTATTAGCATGCTACATAAATGGAACTGTGACACCGATGGTAATAGTGCAACAGTGAGGATCGTATTGTTCGACTTCAAAAAGGCCTTCGATCTGATCGATCATGATATTTTAATTCAGAAACTAGTGTCGTACGAAATTCCAAATAATGTTGTCAATTGGATAATAGATTTCTTGTTGAACCGCAAACAAAGAGTTAAACTCTGCCAAGATTGTGTTTCGGAGTGGGGCTCGGTCCCCGCGGGTGTACCGCAAGGAACAAAATTGGGCCCATGGCTGTTTTTAGTCATGATTAACGATTTAAATGTCTCTAATGATGTGATGTGGAAATATGTGGACGACTCAAACATCTCCGAAACTGTTAAAAAAGACGAAGTAAGTCATATCCAATCAACCGTAGATGAGTTCGTACGCAAGTCCAAAACCGAAAAGTTCGTGCTGAATGAGCGCAAATGTAAAGAAATGAGAATTAGTTTTACGAAATCGGAAAAAGTCTTTCCACCCGTTACGATAAATAACGCCCCCCTTGAAATTGTCCCACATGCCAAAATTCTGGGCCTGAATGTATCCGACAACTTAAAATGGAATTATCATGTTAGCGAACTCGTTAAAAAATCTTCAAAAAGATTGTACTTCCTAACTCAGTTAAAGCGCGCCAAAGTGGGTTGTTTGGAATTGGTACAATTTTTTAAATCCTGCATCAGATCTTTAATTGAATATGCTTGCCCAGTGTATCACGATGGTCTCCCAACGTATCTTTCGAGTGATCTCGAAACTATTCAAAGACGAGCAATGCGAATCATCTACCCCACAGAATCTTACGAAGATGCCCTACTATTATCAGGTCTAACTTCCCTATTCCTACGGCGCCAACAGATTACTAACAAAGTCTTCCTAAATATTATGAACGATGATGCACACAAATTACACGAACTACTGCCTGCTAAAAACAATATCTCGCTTAATTTACGGAAAAAGTCGAAATTCAATAACCCAAGAGTAAAAACGAACCGTTATAGAAATAGTTTTATCATCAGTAATTCAATTAAGGCATAATTAACAATAGTATTAGGCAATCTAAGTATAAACACGATCAGTTCAAGAACTGTTTTAAACAATGAACCATTTCAGAAATAGTTTTTACCGTAACCTAATTTAGGCATAATTAGCATCTAGGTATTGTATTTTCTAACTTGTACATATATAATGCATAGTGGAATTCTCCAACATGTTTTAAGATCCTCTCTTTTATCAATTCTTGTAAATTTTACTTAATTCAGCTTATGGCTGCAATGTAAATTTCAATAAACTATCTATCTATCTATCTATCTATCTATTCAAAACTAGCAAATCTTTCCGATATTCTGGTCCCTCACCATTAATACGTTTATGCGCCAACATGCACCTCCTGACATCTTATTCGACATAAAAAGGAATCCAATTAAGTTGATTGAATGCATCAATAGACGGATGCCGTGGTTCCAAATTTAAAATTATTCTGGCGGCACGCTTTTGAAGCTTGAAAAGTTTCAATATGCTGTCTTGTCTACAATTAGACCAAACAACACTACAGTACATGAACAACGGCTTGATCATTGCATTATAGAACAAGACTCTTTCAGGAATTGGAAGATATGAGCTGACTCGCTTCAAAATTCCAAGTCGCTTTGAAATTTTCTTTGAAGTAGAATTAACGCGATTATCAAACGACAGTTCTGAATCAACTCCCACACCCAGAAGTTTAGCGTTACTCACTTGAGAAATGTTTGAGCCATTTAAGTTAATATCAATGCCTGTGGCAACAGTAGAACGTTTCCCTCCAACAACCATAATCTTCGTCTTATCCGCGTTCAGTGGTAAATTATTTAAAGTTGCCCATTCATCGACATTTGCCATTTCCCTTTGTACCTTATTTTGCAGCTCCTGAATCTGGTCTCGATCACTAGATGCAATAACAATGGTATCATCGGCAAATAAGTCAGTTTGTGATTGAGTGTATAAAGGAAGATCGTTAATAAAAATCAGGAACAAGAGAGGGTCAAGAATTGACCCTTGAGGAACTCCGTCCGTCAGTAATATCCCTAGTTGTTGATGATGTGCCCTTATAATATACGGCATACTGCTTCCTCCCCGAGAGATAGGAATTGAACCAAGACACAGCAGCACTATCAAGTCCATAGCATTCCAGTTTCTTTAACACAATTGAATGGTCCACCATGTCGAATGCCTTGTCGAATGCCATAATTATCACCTGTAATGACCCTTGCCGCCCTGTTTTGAAGTTTTTGTAAATTTATTTGCCGTTAACCATGTATGTATTTTTTGAATTTCAGTATTTAATTTCACACTAATTTGATCAACATTAGTAGCATTTACGGAAATATTTGTATCATCAGCAAAAATGATTGGAATAGATTCATCAAGACAATTTGGCAGATCATTAATATAAATCAGAAATAAGAGTGGGACAAGATTTGATCCTTGAGTTATCCCACATCGAACGTTCCTGATTAATGACTGACCCTGATGGCGATTAGCTCAACCAAAAGCTCTTGTGTGCGCAGGCTTTATCTAGTATCTCTCATTTAAATAATTTATCACAATCACTTATGATTGTGGTAAAAGGGGAGTACTGATTACGTTGCACGGAAAATAAATCCGTAATATCACGATTCACGAAGAAAAACGCCGTCCGTTTCACGGAAAATTAGTAAGACGCTGTTGCTGAAATGTTTCTTTCGCTTATACTCACTAAACGGCGAATATAGGTATTGTACAGTTTATGTATTTCAGTGGGAGCAAGATAAAGAAGAGTTCATTATAAGCTTGGTAATTTTCCTCAAGGAAATACACAACAGGCAACAGGATATGCCTGAAACCGTTTAAGTAGGTTCTTTTCATTTTAAACTCGTTTATACTATACAGTTTTTGTCATGAAATACAATTGTTGTATAAATGTTGTTGATTTTTCTTTCGTTGTTATATAACAAAACACTTAATGTATGTTGCTCGGGAAATAGTCAGTTTTGTTTCCCCTTGAATCTCCGCAATGTTTTTGAGACTCTTGCGGGAAAACAAAACTAACTATTTCCTTGGGGAGCAGACATTAAGTGTATTTATTTTTATCAGTCAGAATGAAGCAATCTGATTGGCTGAGAAGCCTTTCAGAGCTGACTTTTTTTTTTCATCGGGCCCGCTCTGAAATGCAACTGCCCGCTGTGAAATGCAACTGCCTGCTCTGGTTTTCGCGGCAAAAACAGCGAAACAATTTTTAAACGAAAAAATCTGCCTAAAACGTTTGGAAAACGTAGCATTTCATACTAAGCACGATGTACACCAGAATTGACAATATTTGGCATGGATAGAAATGCGACTGAAAGTCGGAAAGTTATTTGGCATGTATAAAACTTACGCTGAGAAAACTAGTTTTTTTAAATGCTCAGTCGCATATTCAGACACGTCACCATAATTTATTTCCGGTTGTAGCAAAAACGCCACCCTTCTCAATATATTTATTATAGAATTTATTCTTAGAGTATATCTATAGTGTCCAGCGGTGGACACGTGACTTTGAGATGGCGGAAAAAGCTTGCATGTGGACTTAGTTAATATATTATATGCATGGCAGACTTTGTAGTTACAAGTACACGTTTAGAGAAATAAAAGAATATAATAATATCTATACGTTTACATGCACCTATGTCCAAGCAACAACTCTGGCGTTTTTCTTGTTCAAAACATTTGAAAACTTGTTAGGAAAAACTATTGTAAATCTCACCATTCCAAGACTCCGTAGCATAACCACCGAAGATGAAGTTACCAACTTTTATTATGGTCACGGTTGGTTTCTTGTGGTCACAGTTTCCATGGAAGGTACTGCCCGCCCATCCATGCTTGGTTGCACGCCAACACAGCTTCCAATTAGTGCTACTACTCTCTGTCCACAAAGTTAAGTTTTTCCGAAAGTCGACTGGTTCTCCAGATAATATGACGGAGTCGACAGAAGGCGTCAGGGCTAAATGAGAACAAGAAACATGATGAAATTCTAATGACCAACACATTGTCCCCTAGCCAACGACGCGGAGCGCCGTTCCGGGCGTATAAGCCCGGGGCGAGGATACTAAATCCGCTCTGCTATTTACACCCGGGGAAAAGAAAGCATTAGGAAGAAAAGGAAAGCATTGTGAAGTTCATGAAACATCGCGGGCGTCTGGCTATGATCCAAGGGTGAACCTCCCACTGATCTCAAAAATATGGTGGACTATCATGGAAATGGCGAAGACTGATTGGTCAAATTTAAATTTCACTTCATGACTACTGCATTTACGACATCATGATAACAGACGACACTATTTGAAAATTAATATATCTGCTTTTTAAAAGATTCACCAAAGTCTTTTATACGGGTTCTTTTGACAAAATGAAAAACCATTAAACAAATAAAATATTAAAGAAAAGTTATGGAACCAAGTGAAAACCAACAAGAAGACGGGGAAAACGCCGAAAGACTTGCTAAAAGAAGAGAGTGAAGACACTGACGTTTGCTACAAGAGACTGAAAAACTTTATTCACAAACCCGAAAAGTCATTAATGAGACATGCAGCCAAACAGTTTATTTCTTTAACAATGGGGCAATAGATTGCTGGAAATTGTAAAACCCAATGAAGGTCAAACTCAAACTTTATCGATAAAAGGTAGTTTAGTTTTAAGAACATTTTAAAGCGTTTGTGGTTGAGTTTTATATTAAATTGAAGCTTATATTACGTATAATAACGTAAATAAATAACATATCATACGAAAACGCTAAGAAGCACTTCGTACAGAGGTATGGACAAAATTTGATTGAAATTTGTACATATTTAGCACCAAAACGACAAATTTAAGATTGAAAATGTTAAAGGTAGGGTACAGTCCGTATGTAAACAAAGCCTTTGTTCAGTACATTTCGTTATACAAAATATTGAATTTTATTCGACAACTATTTATATTTTCATGCTTCTACAGTATAGGCTTTGCAAGAACATAAAATGAAATAAAAACCTAATTAATTAAAGTGTTTATGTCACGGCAGGAGACGCCTATGTGCGCATGCGCAGGCCGAACTGTACCATATCTTTAGGGTCGGCACGTAGCTCTAGCGCCAGTAAAGAAGAAAGACTCATAAATAACGAACGATAAAACAGTATGTTTTTACAGAGCAATTCTTATTCTCGAAGTGCAGGCAGTCACACGAGTGACTAGCGTTAAAACCAGAAGTTCCGGTGTTTATGGTAATGTCAATATATAATTACTACTGATGTTAAACAAAATCAATATGTCATATATGGCGTGATGTCTTCTTCTTAAATTAGTGTCAACGAAAGATGACTGTTACTATAACTGCAATATAAACAATTTACGTAGTACTTTGTTTTCTAATATTCATAATAATCTGGAGACTGGCGTGTGCATTGAGGGCGCTGAGTAGTGGTTGATAAAGTGCTGTTGTCGGCTGGGGTTGTGAACGTAGACGGAACGTTACTTGTCTGATATGGGCATTCTTCACACTCTTCTTCGTCGGAACTGTCCCTGTCCCGACGAGGATACGGTGTACTCGACATTGACTGGTTTGAGACGATCAAGCAATCTGTAGTTTTAACTTTATATGATGTAGCACGCAGTTGATTGCCTGGAAATTTCTTGATGACACAACATGGGTCTTCCACAGATATGACCAAGTATCTACTGCGGGGTTGTGTCTTATCTCGCTCAGCGACTAAATAAACTAAGTCCCCGACGTTAATTGTAAGAGATGCAGACCCATTCCTATTTCGGTTTTTCGATTTCCCACTATACGGGTGGTTTTGTTTTCGTTCTAGATGTTGCTCTTGGATTACTTTGCGATCACATATGGGAAGTTGATCATGAGTGAACTGAACTCGCTGTGTCCACAGCTCGCGAGCCGAAAGTCCTTCACTCCGGAGGCGGGAATTTATTCGAGATGTTGCGAAGGCAAGGGTAACAGTCGATATTGGACTACCATTGGGTGCTTGGTGGAGGATTTCTTCGAGTTCGGCGATGGTCTTCTCGGCCACTGGGTTTTTACTAGTGTTTTTAGCGCGTCCGATCTCTAGGGATAAGCCGAGGCGTTTAAGGGTTGGGTCGGTTCTCAGTGCAACAAAACCAGGGGCGGGGTCGATTCTGATGATGGCCGGTGGACCTTCCAGGGGGTGCAGCTCGCTGCATAACTTAGTTAGGGCATTACAAAGTGTGTTGGCTTTCTCGTCGTGGATGACAGACGTTGCGGTAAAGGATGTTGGGGAGTTTACGATCTGCGACGCGGCCGGCTCAACGACGCGGTCTAAATTTTAGCTCAAGAATGAGCGTTAAGCATTTCGATTACTGTAATAAATATTTGACTCTTTCAAATAACCTTAGAAACAGTGCCGGCGCCAGGGCAGGCCCCCCCCCATTTTTGCCTCCCCCCCTCAAAAAAAATTATTAATCACTAAGAGCGACTAAAGGCTACACAAGCGTTCTGTCGTTATCGGAAAATGTATGGCTTATAAGTTGTCATTACTCATTAGTGAATGCGCGTATACATGAAACTGTTTTTTACAGTTTCAATATTAGTTTGTAAATCTCTGAATGGTAAAACTTGCCAATACTTCAATAATACGTTTAAAAAAAAAGACAAAAAAGCTTTAGTTTTGCAGAGTTAAATTCTCAAACGTGTAAGGCAATAATAAGATGAAAGTATCACGAAATTATTTGAATAAACCACATCGCATATATGGGGGGCGAATGTCCTAAAGAGGGGCGATATTCCTAGGGTATTCGCCCCACCCCCCTGGGAGGCGATATTGCTAGGATATTCGCCCCCGGGGGCGATATTCCTAGGAATATCGCCACGTTTTGACGGGGGGAATTTCCTGGGGGGCGACCTTTTTAAAAATTCTATCTTGCCCCCCAAAATTTGAGTTTGCCCCTCAAATGCCCCCCCAAATTTGGAAGCCTGGCGCCGCCACTGCTTAGAAAATGCTACGTTCGGCTAAAGCGATGCAATATTTGCTGTAATTTCGACTTTTAGTAACACCTCTTGTGTCGCATTAAGCTTTCGCGTTGCCTGAAAGACGTAATAATGCTTTTTTAACGTTGTGTTGAGAATGACAACGCGGTTGACAATACTCATGGGACCACAAATTATTGACAGTTTTTGTCTTGCATGACAAATTTCTTTGTAAGTTCTTTGTGGGTTTGCATGGCGATAAAACACACAATACTACCGTTTGTGGAAACACCAAATTTCTTTGTTTTAAAAGCGCGTCGTCGAGGCGGCCGCGTCGTAGATCGTAAACTCCCTGTTGTTGTTTCGCGAACGACTACGATAGTTTGTTTACACCGCTTAAGGACATCTGCAGCAAATGAAACTCCAACGACCTTGGGTGGTTCTTCCGTGCTATGCTGTACAACTTGAGATAGGAGCTTTTTCAGAGAGGCGCACGTGTGTCACGTGTCACTCACACGAGCGATGGCAGCTTGCATGTAAAGTGCGAAGAAGTTGCGTCTCATCACCAGTTGGAGTTGGTGTTTTGACGGGTGGTCGAGTTTGATATGTAAGGCTGTTACAAGACCGTTAAGTACGGAAGTACGGAGCGTGGTACTACGATAAACTCCGTGGAGGGTGATGAAGGGTCGGTTCTACGAACCACTAATAAACCATCTTTGGCAATGGACAGGGAATTTAGGTAACGTTTAACATCCTTTACATTTGTTAATTTCTTAAAGGGACGTGTTCCTTATTTCAGGTGAGCATGTGTTCTGCGTAGGTCGGGACACTCGGATTGTATTTGGATCCAGGCAGATCGGGTTGTAGAAGGTAAGCGGGGGAGGTGGTGTACGTCTTGGACGGAGGTGGACCGAACTACGGAATCTTCTGTGGTTGAAATGAAGTTACAAATTTGGCATTTCAGTTCATTGCACTCTGGTGCGATTCGACTGGCGAAATCCGAAGGAACGTTCGCTGAGCCACCGAGGTGTTGTATGTCCGCTTGGTACCTGCTGACGATGGATAAAAATGACGTAACGCGAGGGCTCGCTGAAAATTCACCTTGACGCAGTTTATCGATGGCTTGATCATGAACACATGGCTTGCTATCTGTGAGGATACAAGCGGGGTGATGTGATTGGATTATGAAAGGGCTAAAGTGTTTCACGGCGGCAGCGATGCTTAATGCTTCAATCTCACATGGCAGCCAGTTCACCTGATGCTTTTTTAACTTGGCACTGAAAAATCCTGCGAGCAGGAGGGTTTGATGACGTGATACGTAAAGGGTAGTTCCGATTCCTCTTTTGGTTACAGAGCCATCGGTTACTATCCATAGTTTGTCGGATGGTTTGGGAAGGGTAATAGATTTGTTATTCGCCAGGGAGGATTGAGCGAACTTGAATTGTTGGGACAGAGTATCTAACCACGTGATCTTGTCACATGATTGTTGTCCTGCGATGGCACTTTCTAATGGTGCAATGATATGTGCGCACTGTGGTAAAACACGTCCGACAACTTTGTAGGCTCCTATGAAAGACCGAAGACCCCGTACCGTATCGGGAGGCGGATACGATGACATTGTAGCAATTCTGTGTGTGCTTGCGGATAGGCATCCCTGTGTCCAAATCCAGCCTAAGATGGTGGTACTGCGTGGGCAAATAATGGTTTTGGATGGAGAAAGCTTGATATTGCACTTTTGGAGGGCGTCTTGGATCCTTTTCCAGTTGATGAGCAGTTCCTTCCGTACTGGGGGAGTCTGCCTTTGCGTTGTGGCGGTTGTACTGGGCCCATATTTACGACAGCTTCAAAGGGACCGGCAGCACCGTTGTGTCCAGAGATATTTTTATAAAAAACATCGTCATATTCTTTAACTAACCGGCTGAATTCGGAGTGCATGCTCTTTGATAGGATATAGGATAGAATCGGTGTCTAGCTGGACAGATAAGGAATGTTCATGGGGTTTAGGAGAGGAGGGTGCTACTAGGGTGCTGATGCTAGATTTGGGAACGTTGGGATGTACATATGGGATGTAGGTTGGTAGGACCTGACACAGATGGTCATGACGAGGGATACGTTTAGGGTGAGGGGTCTGATTGGGTATACGGATCTTTCTTGCGACTGCCTGCACAATATGGGGGCTTGGCCGCTCACAGTCTGACCTGGCACAATCCTCACGGGATTCTAGGGCAAGGATAGAATCTGGGTCTACGTGATCGGGAAGGTCTAATTCAAGGTACTGTCCTGGCCAAATTACGGTGGAGGATGATGGGGCACGAAGGACTGTAGTTTGTGTTCGTCGGACCGAGCCTATGGTTTCAGCTGGTTGTCTGCAGCCATAATAAACGTTCTCGCATCCTTGAATGGTGACTTCTTGTTTAGATGGCCGGAGGGAGGTGTCATTCGTGATCATGAAAGGAGTCCCGTCTAGTACGTCGATGTCCAAACTATCAACGACAAGTGCATCCAACTGCAAATTAAGGTGGTTACGGGACAAAGTCAAATGGACTTCTCCGACGACGGCTAGCTGGGTTATACCATCTGCTTGGAGGGCTTTCTAAGTAGTCTTCTGTATAGTAGCTCCAATTTCATTGGCAATGCTGGTCTTTATCATACTTGTTTCTGCTCTTGTGTCTAATGTCAATAGTAGTGGGTGATGGGCATAGAATGCCCGGAGATGGGGTGACTGCTTAACACTAACTCGGTTGGTTCGTTAGTTCTTGATTCGGTAGTTGTGGGAATCTTGTGAGTCTTCTACTTCGCAATCAAATAGCGAGTCCCCCGGTTATGTGCGGACAACCTGTCTTGAGCGGGATAGGTACTGCTTGTTTTCGACTTGGAGGTAGGGGCACCTGCTAAGGTAGTGTTGGTGTTGTCGACCTGCTTGTCTACACAAGGGGCAACTTTTAGTTGGGGTTTTATCTAAAACCGTGGGAGTGCTGTAGGGGTTTGACGGCGACTACTGGATTGAGGGTGTTTGAGGGATTGTTGGAAAGCAGTTTGGAGGACTTTGGCATCGTTGGCGCTGGCAGAGATAATTTCGTCGGGGGAGGGAATCTAGTGTCTGGGAAATTTCAGGTTTGAGGGACGCGACAGTTTGTGATCGAAGTTCAGAACCGTAGCGCTGTTTGACTAGGGCCGGTAAAGAAGGATGGATAAGGCGTAGCCATGTCAACACAATTATGTTCTCCATTGTTGGGGAGATGTCTTGATCAGCTGTAACGTTTTCACCATGGTGTCGAATACCACCATTAGCTTTATTAAGCAACTTGTCATCAATGAAGCTAACAAGCCTTTGGTAAAGGTCTTCCGGACGCTCGTCAGTTTCTAAGTGAATGTTATTAAAGTCTAAGAAAATGACCACCTGTGAACTGAAACCCGAAGTGAGCTCGAATTGATTGCCAAATAGTGCTCAAAGATGTCGAGTTTTTGACAATAGTATTCTGGGGAATTACAGGGCAATAATTGGCTATTTGGCCCAATATAAGCTCCAGTTGGGCTGCTTTTTGCTCTGCAGTACGACGGCGTGCTACGGGTACAGTATCGGCATCATTTTCGAAACCGCGAAGTGGGGTTGACGGTGATCTTTCTTAGCCAAGTTACCCCATCGATCAGAAATGGGGCGAAGTTTTGGTCTAACGATAATGTATATTGTAAATTTTGACGCCATGCTTCAAACGATGTTTTTGTTTCTTGTTTTGTGAGAGACCACTATTTCTGGGCACGGTTGCTTGCCATACTAACGAGAAAGACAATTGACTTACGTTTAGTATGTGAGGCCTTGCTGTACGAGCTCTTATTCGTAGAACAGCTGAAAACTGCTTCGCTTTTACCTTGTTTTGGTCCGAGAAACTTTCTTATGAGCTGTTTATTATGATCTCTGCTGTGTTAGAGATCGAAGGATAGGGAAATAAATCGCTGCCACCACGCCAGTAAAGAAGAAAGACTCATAAATAACGAACGATAAAACAGTATGTTTTTACAGAGCAATTCGTATTCTCGAAGAAAAGGCAGTCGCCTGAGTGGCTAACGTTAAAACCGGAAGTTCCGATGTTTATGGTAATGTCAATATATAATTACTGATGTTAAACAAAATCAGTATGCCATATATGGCGTAGGAAGATGTTCTGTGATTGGTTGATTATGACAATGACAAAAGAATAAGCTATAGAATGGATTTTCTAAAGAACCAAGCAAGAACAATATTCCTTCTGTTTATGTAAGCCAATTACGTCTTTTGTCATTGTCATAGTCGACCAGTCACAGAACATTTTCCTAGAGCTTCGTGTTTACTGTATCTTTAAGAAAGTTCATCAATAATCGTGGACGCATGACTATGGGTTATCGTGGGTAGGTGGTCGTCCTCACGACTGTCATGAATAGCGAACACTGATTGGTCAAATTTAAAATTTGCATTATAACGGCTGCACGACGAAAGCGAATTTGCAAATATTTCTAGCAATATATTTAGTAGAGGACCTGTATATGAGTTTGTATGCATTTCATTTGGGACAGATAAGTTCAACTGTTTTAGGGTATATTCAGACGATGGCGGACAACATGGCATATGTGCCAAAACCCGAATTCGGGACAAAACGTCCCAAAATGACCACACCCAGAAACGGCGCTTGCAACATAGCCCAATCTACTAAATGAACTTTAATGAACTTTAATGTACTTTATTATAGGATTACACAAATTACTGGTAAACCAGTATTTTACATTGTGGTCCAAAAATATATATAGTTTAAATTACAATATCTACATATTTCAATTAGGATGTCTGTGTGACCAGAAAATGATCACAACTTTCATTTACTAAAAGTGTTTTATTAACTAAGTGTTTTTTAAATTTACCTAACCCACTAATATTCATACTATCCACATTAAGTTCATTCCAGAGACGAACAGCACTAGCATGAAAACAACGAAGTCCAGATCTTGTATGGCATTTCGGTACAACTAATTTCATATTAGAAGATGCTCTAGTACAATATTCATGCCGATTCTTAACATAACTTACATAGTTATCAAAATACTGTGGACACATTTTATTGATTATTTTATACATCATGCACAATTTATGTACACGAATAGTGTCATCTATGGGAATCCACTTTAATGTATTAAATAATGCTACTGAATTATCAGATGGATTCGCATCAAGGATTAAGCGGGCACAACGCTTTTGTAATCCTAAAAGTCTTAATAGTTGTTCGTTTGAGCAATTGCCCCAAACTGTGCAACAATATTCCAGTGTTGATTTAATCAATGCATTATACAACATCTTTCTACCAGAAATAGACAGATAACCTTTGGCTCTCTTCAATAGGAAAAATCGCGAGTTCAATTTTTTCATTAAACAGTTAACTTGATCATTCCAACTAAGATATTTGTCTAATTTTACACCCAAGAGTTTTTCGTCTTTAACTTCTTCAATAGGTACTCCATTTAGGTTAAGTTCCAAAGAAGATATATTTGCGTGTCGCAACTTCTGGTGAGTGCCAATGAGCAAATGTTTAGTTTTCGTAATATTAGGTTTCATATGATTTTGCTTAAACCAGACATTTGCACAGTCAAGACTACTCTGAAGATCATTTTGAATTTTAATACAGTCACCATTAGATTTCCAGAGTGTTGTATCATCGGCATAGACATCAACATTTGCTTCAGGTATATTTAAGGGTAGATCATTCATATATAGGGTGAACAAAACGGGGCCAAGTATTGATCCCTGAGGGATACCACAAGATGGAGTAAGTGGCGCAGATAATGACCCAGCAACGGAACAGATTTGAGAGCGTTCCGATAGATATGATTCAAACCATTTCATAGAGACAGCACTAGCATGGTAGGCTGATATTTTGGACAACAGGATATCATGATCTACGAGATCAAACGCTTTGCTAAGATCAAGCAAAATCACTCCAACCAGGTTACTCTTATCCATGGCATTAAGCCAATTGTCCGTCAAATTGAGTAAAGCAGTCTCGCATGAATGATATGGTCGGTATGCAGACTGGTGGCGATAAAGGAGACCATGAGAATTAAGGTATTCAAGATAGGAAGTAGCAACGTGGCGTTCTAAAGGTTTGGATATAATAGAAAGAACAGAGATCGGTCTATAATCGTTTCTTTCATGTACACTTTCTTTCTTATAAATTGGACATAATTTCGCCTGCTTAAACTTTACTGGAAAGCTTCCGGTTGTGATACTCGCATTATAAATATGCGTTAAACTTGGCACAATTGCTGGTAATGCTGTCTTTAAGCCCTTGATGCCAATTGCATCAATACCAGTAGCTTTATTTGAAGCAATTTTCGCAAAGTCCTGTTCGACTTGGTTTCTACTGATTTCGGGTATGAGAAATTGCGTCGACTCATCAATACGATCATTAACAAAGTTTTGTAGGCGCTGTTTAATCAGATCTTGTCCATTCTCATCAATACATGAGATGGGAGTTGTAGACGTTTGTGATTCAATAAAATATTCGTTAAACGCGTTTGCTATGGCCGTAGGATCAGATATTTGATGGCCGTCAACTTGTATAAAAGAGGGCATAGATGAAGCGGGCTTGGTAGGTGCAACACGTTTTAGTGTTTTCCATAATTTTCTTGGATTATTCAGATTAGATTCAATTTCGTCCTTAATATATGTTGATTTTGCATTAGCAATCATTTTAACGACTGCATTCCGAAGTCGTTTGTAAATAACGTTGGCAAGAATATTTGATTTGGCCCGTGCTTTAAATTGATCTCTCAAGCGCATGTGATGTAAAATGTCACTATTTAACCAGGGTGGTAGTTGCTTAGATTTTACCCTTTTCTTCATCAAGGGAGCATGACGGTCAAGAACTTCATTGAAAATTAAATCCCAAATGTCCAATTTGTCATTCACATCTTGAAAAATTTCTAATAATGTCCATGGTGCTGAAATTAAATCGTCAAGAAAACTAGACCGGTCTAAATTATTGAAACTACACATTTTGTGAAGTTCTTATGATGTTTAGAATGGTTGCTTTTAGGGGTGGTCATTGGGGAGTGAAAAATGTCTAGGTATAATATTTGACAACAAAATGACCATACACCATCACAGGTCAAATACTGATTATACCGCATCATATAACTTCACAGCCCATGCAAAAACTATATTTTATTTTTCCCAAAATATTTAAAAGAAAACTATCTTGGCTCTCTGTGATCATGATGATCGAGATGACAAACTATATTTGAAACATCTCCACGTTCAGTGTCACAGGCCAACGCGTTGTAATATTCTTAATAAAATTATCGTGTTACAATGACAAATAACTTGAAATACTTCATGTTCGGAAAATATAATAGTTTTGTCAGCAAGGCGAGGGATTCTGCATGCATGCATTTTCTAGTATATAATAATTATAATAATATACAAGAAAAAAATACTCAAGTACCAAAAAAGTTCCAAAAAATTTCAAGTGGCTCTAAAAAACCAACATTGTTACAAGAGCCTCGTGAGTTTTCAACGTGATTTTTCATCCTTCGGACTCATGCAAATTCGTCTTGATCGCCTAAATCTCACTCGTGCATGTCTTTTCCAAATTGCACTAAAAATCGTACCTTTATCTATCTATATATAGATAAAGAACCCAACAAACTACAGCAGCAAAATAATAAATTACTTAAAGCGGAGTAATACAGGTAACAAAATTGCTGCACTTGCAACAAAAACTGAATTCAATGAATGCTAATTTTTAAACGGAAGATTTTTAGCGTGGCTTGATATGAGTTCTTTTTGCAACAATTAACTTTTGATTCTCATTCTATTTTATCTTTATCTTGCGCAGCAATCTTTTTCTTTAACAACTCACCAGTTTGGCAGAGATCTCCACTGAATCCCTTTAGACACCCACATCTGTAAGGATCAGAACCAGGTCCATCTTTGAGATAAATGATCGTCTTTCCTCCATTTTTACAATTCTTCATTTTATGACATGGAACCTGGAAAGCAAATGTGTTAGAATTCAGCCCACCGTAAACTAAGAGAAACTCAGCCTGCATGCATATTTAATTATTTAAGCTGAAATAACAGAATAACATCACAAGTTAACTATAATAATTGGTCCAGTATTTTTAAAGTGAGAACGAGTTTTAATTGATGTTAGTACTTTTGCACAAGTGAACATAACAAACCCTACAAGTTGATAGGTCAAATTTGACGTATTAAGCTGTTTTAGTATAATTACATAGGTGATTATTGAAAATTCTCCACGCTGATTGGTTACCGTTGAGGTGATCAATAATCACCTAAGCGATTTTCAAAATGGCGGCCGAAGCCGTTTTGTCAATTAGAAGACGAAGAAATGTGCATTTTTTATTTTTTTCTACATAATCACCTATGAAATTATACTAAAACAATTATTCACCTCAGGCTCGGTGATTATCGTGAATAAAAACCTCGACTTCGTCTCGGTTTTTATTCACCGATAATCACCTCGCCTTCGGCGAATAATTGTTAAATATTCACCGGTAGGTGAATATAACAGCTTATACGTCAAATATTTCCCGATAATCACCGAGCCTGAGGCGAATAATTGTTAAATATATATACCGCAATGGATGTCCTTAAAATATAGCTAACTTTTTTCATTAAAAATATTTTCGGAACTATATAGGGTAAAATAATGCAATATAGTGTATCAAAAGTATATAATTTTGTTATAAAAATAATCGAGTCGAAAGGACGAGTTCAATTTGGACTCGAAACCATTCTATATAGGCCGATTTTACACTACACAACTTTTGCCTATAAAATTGTCCCATGCAACCTGCTTACAACTTGAATTGTACTGTGTAAATCAAGCACACAACTCACCTACGTCGTCACTCGCATACCGCATGTTTTATTACATAGCAACAGAAGAAAAATCAACAACATTTATACAACAATAAATTATTGTATTTCATACATGTAAACGAGTTTAAATGCCTGTTGTGTATTTTTCTTCTTTTTTATACATTCTAAACTAGTAGTTTCTAAACTTGCGAGTTCTGCCAAAATTTTGTTTATTGATGTACGTTTGGCGTTTACCCTAGTTGTATAACAATTAGTAAGGTAGTATAGCTAATTGGAAAATTTGTGAAGATCGCAAAATTCTCATGCATACTTTTCACTTGCTGCTTGCCGGGCACAAATAAGCTAATTCCGCGTATATAAATAAGCTATTTAAGATGTGGGTATTGCTAGCTAGGCATTGCTTGCTGGAATAAACCAATTCGGGCAAAGTTTATTAAGTATATTTTTACTGCAGTTTTGTACCTTTCTTGGAGCAACAGGATGATAAAATATCCAGCCTTTGTCATCAGCTTTGCAATCATGAAAGTTGTGATCCAGCGTGTGGGTTAACTGGCAGTTTGGAGTCTTCTTCTGGTGCTTTTTCTTAAAATTGTATCCAGTACAGAATGGATATTGGAAGCACTTCATGGCACAATGATTCTGGAAATCATACGTCGCTTCAGACAAAATATTATTTGTCAAAGGGCAAACATCTACAACGCGAAAAAATATTTATCAGGCAAACAAAAACTTAACGTTCACAGGTATTAACTAAAATTGTTGCAGAAATGACATGGAAACATTAAAAAAACCCAATATATAGCTCTATATAAATTAGAAGCAAGAATATAAGGACTTGCTGTTCCATAAATTAAACTTACCTCCATACAGCGAGCGAAAAGGAATCGCCACGTTCGTGTAATCCTCAGGCATGCAGTATTCTTGTTCCATTGTAACTGCAAGTGGGAACAAGGTCAGGAACAGAAATCGCACAGACATGAGCGTTGTTCGAAGAAAGCGTTTCATTTTGTTGTTATATGAGAGAACACAGGCTGAGGTTAACCAATTTTTTGGTTGTTTTCTCATGGGCGTCGACAGCAAAACTGAACTAAGTGGCAAATTTTAGGTCGTTATATACTTGCGACGCGCTATGGCACGGTAGTTCCCATGCAATTGTAGGCCATTAAATGTGTTTGCATTGCAAAACACGTCTTAATAGAATTGTGGCAAAGTATCGCATTAATAATTAAATTGTTGGTCAAAGTTTCATCTGTTAACGGAGAAGGGTATACGTGGTTTTTGGAACAAATATAGGGCAATCCTAAAATTTTAAACGCCAATAACAGTCTCTTCTTCCGGCTGACAATTTTAGCAAATATAAAATTGCAGTTATTCAAAAACGTATGCATATAATTACAATACACGCATTAGTCGCAATTTTGGATTCAATTATGCATTATTATGCATGCAAACTTTGTATTCTAATTTCAATTTTGTATTCTAATTTCAATTTTGTATTCTAAATTCAATTTTGCATGTATTCTAATTATGCATGCAAACTTTCTTCCGAATAAGTTCACTACGGATCATATCGAAGAGAAATCGTTTTATTCAACCCAATATATCAGTATAGTGCTAAAACTCTTAATTATTATAGAGGCTGTTTTTATTGCTTCCATGAC